AAAAAATTTCTTTTTTTTCTCATATTCTTTAATTTAATTATAAAATATTTCTAGCTGATTCTTATCGTCCTGGTTTGTCTCCATATTCAAGTCGAGCAGGTGCAACTAATCAAAAATCTACAAAACCTAAAGTGATTGTAGCTGATCTTCAAGAACAAAGTCTACGAGGAATATGTCTTTGTTTTTTACGTAATTCAAAAAAAACTGTTATTACAGGGCAAAATATTGTTAATGTATGTTTTTATTAATAAAATTATTTGATTTGATTTTTTTTCTATTTTACAGGAAGTTTTTTTCTATACATTTGAATGTAATACTGAACCATTACTTCAAGCATTAAGTCGATCAATAGCTGATATATATTTACCATATCTTCAAATATCGGAAACAACTTGGGGAAAACTTTCTGGTTCAGATAATAATCAAATGATAAAAGTTGATTTTATTAGTCGATTAAATAATTTTGTTGCTACACTTAATAGTGCACAAGAAAGTATTAATGAAAGAATTTTACTAAAACCATGTGATAAAGTTGATTTAACACAAATACAAAATGCAGCTGATTATGTATCAATAGCATCAAATAATGAAAGTCTTGCATCAATTGAAGAAACAATGAAAATATGGATTAAACAAATGGAACAAGTAAAGAAGAAAAAAAAATAAAATTCATATTTAAATTTGATCTATTGGATCTTTTTTTTTGTTTATTTAAAAAAACAAAGGTTTTAGCAGAAAGTGAACAAATTCGTCGTGAAGCAGATAATATTGGTCCACGAGCTGAACTTGAATATTGGAAAAAACGTATGACAAAATTTAACTTTTTACTTGATCAAATAAAAGGACAAGATGTTAAAGCTGTTTTAACAATTTTACAAACTGCTAAATCAAAACTTATTCAAGTAAAATAATAATAATAACTAATTTTCAATAATTATATATTTATTATTTTCTTAATAGCAATGGAAATTACTTGATGGAAAAATTACAGATGCAGCAAATGAAGCAAAAGATAATGTACGATATTTATATACATTAGAAAAATTTTGTGAACCATTATATAATTCTGATCCAGTTGGAATGTTAGAATGTATTCCAGGTTTAATTAATGCTGTACGAATGATTCATTCGATTTCACGATATTATAATACATCAGAACGCATGACATCACTATTTGTTAAAGTAAGTTATGTAATAGTGATATTACAATTGCTTTTTTCTAATATCACAGTTTTCATATGAAAATTGAATATACTTTGATCTGCTAGTAGTTCTTTATCTAATTGATTAATTTAAGTAATAAGATGCTCATTTATGAGAATCAACTTTTCCTTTTGAAATTTATTTTGTAGAACTCACATTATGTTTTTTGAAGAAAAAATATAGTGAATGTAAGTTTTGAGTGAAGATTTTTTGTGGTTTCCCCCCATGAGAGCAACGAACAAGGGAGCGATAGGCCAACAATTATTCAGTATGTTTCCATAGCAACTGAGGACAACATGCGTCGGACTCCTTTTCCAGAGTTCCTTCTTAGCAACGGAAAAAGGTATTAAATAGCATTAACAACAATTCTTAGACTGTTCTACAACATTCCAAAACCTTACTCAAAAGTTAAATAAAAGAGAAAAATGTCTGTTCGAAATGCAAGATCATCGATTATACTTGAAAGACAACTATAGTCTGCTATGTGAGATTCATAGTTTAGTCTCAAAGGAACTGCGCTGACAAGCATCTTTTAACCAGTGTAAGGTACGATATCCTGATCACTGTTATTTACGATGAAAAATTAATCCGTCAAACATAAGTACAGAACTTTTAGTTTCAATGTATAGATCACTACTGATATTATGGAAAATTTTCAAATATAAAATTTTTCTTCAAGAAGAACATAAGCTATTAAATGTCGAGTATGCCGACAATTATAAGAAATAGTAAATAATTATGCGTACACAACAAATATCTTATTTATGTATATAGATTTTTCATAAAAGAAAGTTAAAATAAATTTATATTATCTTAACAAATCACATATACATATGTTCAATTAGCAAATTATTCTATTTTGTTAAGTTAAAATTTAATTAAGTGATAAACTAAAAGATTTTAATGATTATAAAAAACATAACATATAAAATCGATTAAATTGAAATCAAAAATATTGTTAAAAATAAATAAATTTTCTAAATAGATAACAAATCAAATGATAACAACATCAAAAATGTATATCACTGATAATTATACACAAACAATATGGTCTCAAGATCAATCACATGTTATATCAAAATTACGTGATTGTATTAAATTAAATGATGAATATCAACGTTGTTTTCAATCAACAAAAAATAAATTAGCATCAAATCCAGCTGAACGTCCATTTGATTTTAGTGAAATGTATATATTTGGAAAATTTGATTCATTTGTACGACGTTGTGAAAAAATTATTGATATGTTTGCAACAATAAATATGTATTCACATTTAGCTGATTCAAAAATTGAAGGTATATCACCATTTTATTCAAAATTTAATATGATTGTAACATCAATGAAGAAAAAAGATTATGATTTTTTGGATCAACGTAAACAAGAAGTTGATAGTGATTTAGATGATTTTCGTCGTTCAATAGCAGATCTTCATAGTAATATAAATGAATTTCTTGATAAATATTTTAATTCTATACGTAATACTGAACGATCATTAACAGCATTAAAACGTTTTGAAAAATTACAATTACCAAATATTGGTTTAAATGAAAAATATGCAAAAATTTTACAACAATATTCAAAAGATTTAGATGCAGTTGCAAAAATTTATCAAAAAAATTCAAAAGATCCATTGATTTCAAGAGATTTACCACCAACAGCTGGTAAAATTTTATTTTTTATTTTCATTTCTACAATCCTCATAAATTCACTGTTGTTATTATTTTTGTTTTTTAAGGTCGAATCATGTGGGCTCGTCAATTGTATAAACGTATTCAACAACCGATGGATATTTTTATTGCAAATAAAACCATTCTTCAATATCCTGAAGCAAAAAAAATTATAAAAAATTATAATCAACTCTCTAAAGTTCTTTTATCATATGAACTTCTATATCATCGTGGATGGCTTCGTCAAGTTGATGTTGTTGCAACTGGTATTCATTCAAGTTTACTAATACGTGTTAATCGTGATGATCTTCTATCGGCTGCATCAACACTTCCCGGCATATCATCTATTGTAACATCAACATCACAAACAAATCCTGAATATTTAGTTAATTTTGATCCAAATATACTTGAATTAATACGAGAAACTCAATGTTTAGCACGTTTAGGTTTAGAAATACCAAAAGAAGCTGCTATATTAGCACAACGTGAAGATTATCTTAAAAAACATTATCAAGATTTAACACAATTAGTCGAAAAAAATAAACGTTTAAGAGAAAAAATTAAACAACCATTTGAAGCATTATTAGCACCAAAAATTCATCGTTTAAATGATATTATTAAACCTGGTTTAACATCTTTAACATGGGCATCATTAACTATTGATGATTTTATAAATTCAGTTCGTTTAATTTTGTTTTTTTTTCTTTTCAAAGTTTCATTATACTTTTTGTTATATTATAGGTTAATTCAGCATTAGATGAATTTGATTTAATGTTAGATCGTGCATATGATCTTATAGCATATCGTATTGATGCTGTACTTGATGAAATAGCAACAATGTCTCTTTGTGATTTACCTGAAGATGAACCAATAACACCTGATCAATTTTTACAACATACTCAAGTAAAATAAAAATCAAAAAATAAATAAATAAAAATCTTGTTTTTTTTTTCTTTTCAATAGAATTTATGTAATCTTGCATCAAAACAAATTCAATTGAAATCTCATAATGTTGAAGATGCTGTACTTGAAGTTATTGATCTCTTATGTGGAGATATAATTGGTACAAGTCTCCATGGTGATGGACAAGGACAATATTCAAATATTGCTTTAGATCTTGATGATGAAGAATCTGATGGTTTGTTTTTTTTTTGAATTAAATCTTTAAAAAAAGTTTTTTTTTCTTTGTTATCGTAGATGAAACAACAACTGTTCATGATCAAAATACACTTAAATCAGCTCGAACCAGTCGACAACCATCAAGTACAACAAATCGAACACGACAAATATCATCAGGAAAATCATCTAAAGGAAGAGCTAAATCATCAATTATGTTAGGAACAACATCACGTCGTAAACGTGAACAACAAAGTGAAAATTTACAAGTTGCTATTACAGAATTAATAAATCATTTTAGTCATCGAAATCTTGATGCTATTATACGTGTTATTAAAATGACTTTAGAAAAATTAAGAAAACGTATTACATCAACACTTAGTTATAGTAATTTGAAATGAAAAATATTGTTTTTTTTTTTTTTTTGATTTTCTTTTTTCATAGGTCGAAATCATCAAGAAGCACCAGTATTTAAAGTTTTTGCTGAATTAGCTATTCCAAATGTAGCTATTCAACCACCAGCTGATGAAGTACAAATTTATTTAAATAAAGCTGTACAAACAATTGTATCTGTTGCAAAAACTATTTCACAATGGGATAAAAATAGAAAAAGAGTAAGTCAAAAAAAAAATGGTTTGATATTCAGATAAATAAAATTATGTGTAATAAAAATAAAAAACACCTACATATATATATATATATGGAAATATGCCAATTTTTTTAGACAATATTATTATCCCTGAATATAATGAAAGTATTAGTTTCTATTGGAATATTAAAATCAACAAGTCAAGATTTTTCTTTATTGAGAAATATAAATAGACAAGTAAATTTTTTCAACCTTTTATATGCATGTCACATTCGTTAGTTTAATAGTGTTATTTTCTTTTTTCTTTTTGATTTAATTGCATGAATTAATTTCGATTGAATGAAATTTTTTCTTTAATAAAATTCTTTTCTTTTTTTTTTTTCTCCTTTTTCTAGCAAAGAAAACGTAGTAGTAAACATGATATACCACTTGATACACAAATTGGTGATAGTGAATCACATCTCGCAATAAATCCTATAGCAGATCATGAAGAAGAAAATAATCCAATCACACCAGGTTCAGCATTAGCCGGCGCTAATTTGGAAACATCTGCAAGAGATGTATTTCATCAAGGATCATCTGCTACTACTGATGCTGGTACAACTAGTCGATTACGAGGCCATGAACAAACTAATACAGATCAACAACATTCTCGAGTACAATTTACTCCAGCAAATAATTATTTTAAAAATGTATCTGAAAATAAAGATGTTGCTAAATTAGTTGCACTATTAGCTACATGTATTAATGCAACGAAAAAAGTATAGAATATTTTATTTCTATTTTTATTGATAAAAATTTTGTGTTCTTTTTGTTTTTATTTATTTATTATAGGATATAACAACAGCATTAGAAATATTTACACGATTTAATACTTTATGGCAACGAGATCGTGATGAAGAATTAAAAGATTTTCTAGCACAAGAACCACGTGTATCAGAATTTGAAGCTAAAATTAAATTTTATGAAAATTTAGCATCAGATATTAATTCTCAACCAGAATCTATACCTGTTGGTCCATTAGCTATTTTTACTGGTATGTTATTATTGTTATTTTTTTTTAGATAGTTATTAAATTAATGGTTTTTTTTCTTCTTAAGAACATTTAAAATTTGCTCTTAATCAAGAAGTACGTGATTGGATAGTTCGTTATGGTCAAGCATGTAATGCAAAATATCGTAAAGAAATGAATGAAGTTAGCACATTCATTGAAGATATTGAAAAACGTTTATCACGTCCAATCAATGATTTAGAAGATATTCGTTTAATTATGATTGCAATTAAAGATTTACGTGATAATGAAATTCGTATTGATATGAGTATAGCACCAATCGAAGAATCATATACAATGTTACAAACTCATGGTCTTAATGTTTCAAGAGAAGAAAGTGATCGAGCTGAATCAATTAAATTAAATTGGGAAAAACTTCAACGTCATGGTGTAAGCACACAAAAACAAAAACTGTTTTTTTTTTATTAATATGATATTTTTTTTTCTTGTGGCTTTTATAGAGTGAAGTAACATCATATTTACTTAAAATTCAACCAACGAAACGATCAGAATTATTAGAAAATGTTAAAATATTTATTGAAGAATGTGAAAAATTTTATGGTGATTATGAAAAAGGTGGACCAACATTACCTGATTTAACACCACGTGAATCAAGTGATAGACAAATATTATTTCAAAGTCGTGTAGAAAATTTATATAAAAAATATGAAACATATCATGGTGGTGAATTATTATTTGGTTTATCAATAACTGAATTTCCACAATTAGAAAAAATTAAAAAAGATTTAACATTATTACAACGTCTTTATGGTTTATATAATAAAGTTTTAGATACTGTTGCAAGTTATTATGATATAGCATGGGTTGATGTTAATATTGATAAAATAAATCAAGAATTATCTGATTTTCAAACAGCTTGTAGAAAATTACCTAAAGGTTTAAGAGAATTTCCAGCATTTCATGCATTAAAAAAAACAATTGATGATTTTAGTGAATGTAAATTTTAATAGATAATGATTTTTTTTTTGTTTTATTTTAAGTTTTTATTTATATTGAATTTAGGTTGTCCTTTATTAGAAATGATGTCAAATCGAGCTATGCAAAATCGTCATTGGCAACGAATAGCTGAAGTAACTGGTGTACATAATTTAGATGTTGAAGCTGATGATTTTCGTTTGAGAAATGTTATGGATTTACCATTACTTCAATTTAAAGAAGATATTGAAGATATTTGTATTGCAGCTGTTAAAGAACGAGATATTGAAGGAAAACTTAAACAAGTTGAATCAGATTGGAAAACACAAGAATTTAATTTTGCTCAATTTAAAACACGAGGTGAATTATTACTTAAAGGTGATCGAATTCAAGAAGTTATTAGTCTATTAGAAGATTCTCTTATGTTACTTGGTTCATTAATGTCAAATAGGTTTGTAAAATCTTGGTTTTTCTTCTTCTTCTCCTTCTAAAAACTTTGTTTTTTTTCTTGTGTCTAGATATAATGTTCCATTTCGAAAACAAATTCAAAAATGGGTTAAAGATTTAACGGATACAAATGAAATTATTGAAAATTGGATGCGTGTACAAAATTTATGGGTTTATTTAGAAGCTGTTTTTGTTGGTGGTGATATTGCTAAACAATTACCACAAGAAGCTAAACGTTTTTCATCTATTGATAAATCTTGGCTTAAAATAATGTCTAAAGCACATGAACAACCAGCTGTTGTACCATGTTGTACAACAGATGAAACATTAAAACAATTATTACCACATCTTCTTGAACAACTTGAATTATGTCAAAAATCTTTAACTGGTTATTTAGAACGAAAACGTCTTTTATTTCCACGTTTCTTTTTTGTTTCTGATCCAGCATTATTAGAAATTTTAGGTCAAGCTAGTGATCCACATACAATTAAAGCACATTTATTAAGTGTTTTTGATAATATAAAAACAGTACGATTTCATGAAAAAGAATATGATAAAATTTTAACAATTGAATCATCTGAAGGTGAAACGATTGAAGTAAGTTCAATGGGATTTTTTTTTGTCTATTGAAAATAATTCTATCTACTAATTATTCAATTTTATTATTTAGCTTGAAAAACCTGTTAAAGCTGAAGGTAATGTTGAAATATGGTTAATGTCACTTCTTAAAGAATCACAACGATCATTACATGGTGTTATTCGTCAAGCTCATCATGCTTTATCAGATCCATCATCATTTAATCTTATTGAATTTCTTAATACATATCCAGCACAAGTTGGTCTATTAGGTATACAATTAATATGGACACGTGATGCAACAGAAGCATTACGTCATGCTAAAGTTGATAGAAATATAATGAAACAAACAGCTAAAGTATTTAGTGATTTACTTGATTTATTAATTGATCAAACAACAAAAGATTTAACACGTGTTGAACGTACAAAATATGAAACATTAATAACAATACATGTACATCAAAAAGATATATTTGATGAACTTGTTCAAACAAATGTTCGATCAATAACTGATTTTGATTGGCTTAAACAAACAAGATTTTATTTTGTTGAAGAATTAGATAAAGTACAAATATCGATAACAGATGTTGATTTTACTTATACGAATGAATTTCTTGGTTGTACGGAACGTTTAGTTATTACACCATTAACTGATCGATGTTATATTACATTAGCACAAGCATTACATATGAGTATGGGTGGAGCACCTGCTGGACCAGCTGGAACAGGTAAAATAATGTATTTCAAAATTTTAAAAGTATTTATAGCTCGTTAGAGTTTACCTGATGTATATATAGTTCTGACTCTATAGTAATTAATCAGTTGGGTGACTTCTCTTCTCACAAGATTTTATAAATGACAAAAAAAATATATACTGAACAAAAATCATAATAATTTTCAAATCTTATCATCGAAAATCTGATTTGTCTATTTCATAGGCAAATCTATTTAGAAAAAGTATTATCACTTTTCAGCACATCAGTAATAATGGCTGAAAGAGAAAACTAAATCTCATATCCTTGTGAAGTACGATTGAAATCATTTCTACATTTCACAATACATTTGAATAGCCTTACGTTCAATAGAAAACATAATCTAAATGTTTTAATTCTCAAAAAATTTTAAATTATCTTTATAATATATTATTTTATTTTTAAGGAAAAACTGAAACAGTTAAAGATATGGGACGATGTCTTGGAAAATATGTTGTTGTAAGTAGATGATAAAATTTTTTTTCTTTTAATAAATCAATTGATTCTTTTTTTGTATTTATCAATAGGTATTTAATTGTTCTGATCAAATGGATTTTCGTGGTTTAGGTCGTATATTTAAAGGTTTAGCTCAATCAGGTTCATTTGGTTGTTTTGATGAATTTAATCGTATTGATTTACCTGTACTTTCTGTTGCTGCACAACAAATAGCTATTGTTCTTGCTTGTAAAAAAGAAAAGAAACGTCAATTTATATTTACAGATGGTGATCTAGTTGAAATGAATTTGGAATTTGGCATATTTTTAACAATGAATCCAGGTTATGCTGGTCGACAAGAATTACCTGAAAATTTAAAAATTAATTTTCGTTCTGTTGCTATGATGGTACCTGATCGTTTGCCAATTATTCGTGTTAAAATGGCTGCATGTGGTTTTAGAGAAAATGTTCCTTTAGCAAAAAAATTTTATACACTTTATAAATTATGTGAAGAACAACTTAGTAAACAAGTATGAATTTCATTATTATTATTTTTTTTTGAATTATTCATATATACACTGTTGATCAAAAGTAGCAATACCAGGTAAAAGTAAGAAAAAAAATACTCGAGCGTTGAAACTGAAAATTTTATTACAAATACAACTCAATAGGCGCTGGTCTTAGACACCGATTCATACTTAATAGTATGATAAATAACGGACTTGTGGATCAAACACTACTTTAATATTAGGACACCTGGATCTCTATCATTCGAGCATCTTCATTTGTAAGCTGGATATTTAGTCTTTCTACCGTAAAGATTTTGTACGAAACCATCATTGTCTTGTTAAGTTTTATGTTTGTATTTGACAATCATTTACAACAGGCACATCAATGTCTATAGATAAATTACCTATAACTCAGACAGATTTCAATCATTTTTTTTTTCTGAGTTATAGTTGATTTATCTACAGGTACTGATATTCTTGTGATAAACAATTCTCAAATACAAGCATAGAACTCAACAAAACAAAAGTGATTTTTTATAAAAGCTTCACAATAGAAAGGCTAAGATTTTTAGCTAACTAGAATAAAAAGATGCTCACATGGTAGAGATCCTGATGTCCTAAAATTAAAATACTATTTGACCCACAACTCCTTTATTTGTCATGTCCAGGCTCGTATCTAGGACCAGGATCTACATTGAACTGTATTTGTAATAAAATTTTCAGTTGCAACACGCTCTAGATTTTTGGTTACTTTTATCTGGTATTACTATTTTTGATCAGTAGTAAATATAAGAAATAAAAAATAAATTCTAGGTTCATTATGATTTTGGTTTACGAAATATTTTATCTGTATTACGAACACTTGGTGCTGTTAAACGTGCAAATAAAGATGATTTAGAAAAGACAATTGTTATGCGAGTACTTCGTGATATGAATTTATCAAAATTAGTATGTTATATTTTGTTGCTAGTTTTTTTTTTTATAATGTAGTAAATTGATTTATTTTGATTTTCATATAGGTTGATGAAGATGAACCATTATTTATCTCACTTATTAATGATCTTTTTCCAAATATAAAATTAGAAAAAGAAACATATGTTGAATTAGAAGCAGCTATTGATAAAGAAGCTCAAGCTGCTGGCCTTATATGTCATCCACCATGGATATTAAAAATAATTCAAGTACTTAATTTGAAGTTCTTTTTTTTTTAAATTTTTATTTAAAATTTCTTGTCTACTCTCTGTTTAGTTATTTGAAACTCAACGTGTTCGTCATGGAATGATGACATTAGGACCATCAGGTGTTGGTAAAACATGTTGTATTCATGCATTAATGAAAGCAATGACAATATGTGGTGAACCACATCGTGAAATGCGTATGAATCCAAAAGCAATAACAGCACCACAAATGTTTGGTCGATTAGATGCAGCAACAAATGATTGGACAGATGGAATATTTTCAACATTATGGAGACGAACATTACGTACAAAAAAAGGTGAATTTGTTTGGCTTGTTTTAGATGGTCCTGTTGATGCTATTTGGATTGAAAATTTAAATTCCGTATTAGATGATAATAAAACATTAACATTAGCTAATGGTGATCGAATACCAATGGCACCAAATTGTAAAATTATTTTTGAAGTACATAATATTGATAATGCATCACCAGCTACTGTTAGTAGAAATGGTATGGTTTATATGAGTAGTTCTGGTTTAGATTGGCGACCATTAATTCAAGTAAATCAATAAATATATAAAATGACTTCGAAAAATTATTCGACTAGATTTATTTTTTTCCACTATCATAAACTCTAATAAGAATCTAAATAATAATTTTCAAAAATGAAAGTGATTACTAATTTTCCAAAGATCCTATCCTTAGAAAACTATTAATCATTAAAAATTAAAAATAAATCTAGTCGAATAATTTTGAGAATATATTGAAAAAGAAGAAAATTTAAAAAAAAATTCTGTTTTCAATAGGGTTGGATAAAACGTGAACGATCATCGAGTGATGGTGAAGTTTTAATGCGTTTATTTGAAACATCATTTCCATTTATTTATCGACATTTTTCACTTCATCTTAAATCAAAAATGCCTGTACTTGAATGTATGATTGTTACTCAGGTATATAATTATTTATATTTTTTATTTTATGAATTTATTTATTTATTTTAATTTAGGCATGTAAATTATTAAATGGTTTATTACCATTAAAAGAAGCTAAAGATCAATTAACACCACAACATATTGAACGTTTATATGTATTTGCAATAATGTGGTCAGTTGGTGCTTTTCTTGAATTAGATGATCGTGCACGTTTACAAGATTATATATTAAATGCTACTGATTTTCGTTTGGATACACCAAAATTATCCGAAGGTAGTGAAGATACAATATTTGATTATTTTGTTCATGAAAAAACTGGTGCATGGACACATTGGAATAATGTTGTTACGGAATATATTTATCCAAAAGATCATGATCCAGAATATGCATCTATACTTGTACCTAATGTTGATAATGTTCGAACAGATTTTCTTATTCATACAATTGCAAAACAACATAAAGTAAATTTAGAAAAAAAAAAAAAAGAATGAAATTTTTTTTTATACAAATAATAATTTTTGTCTTTTTAGCCTGTTCTTCTTATTGGTGAACAAGGTACAGCTAAAACTGTTATTATACAATCATATATGAGTAGATATAATGCTGAAGAACATTCACAAAAAACAGTTAATTTTTCATCGGCTACAACACCGAATATGGTTCAAAGAATAATTGAATCCTATGTTGATAAACGTGTTGGAACTACATATGGTCCACCAGCTGGTAAAAAGATGACTGTATTTATTGATGATAGTACGTACTACCAAAAAAAAGAAAAGAAAAATGTTTCTATATAAGGATAGAATTTATTCTTTTTTTTTTGTTTTTGTTTAGTTAATATGCCAACAATAAATGAATGGGGTGATCAAATAACAAATGAAATTGTTCGTCAATTAGTTGAACAAGGTGGTTTTTATTCATTAGAAAAACCAGGTGAATTTACAACCATTGTTGATATACAATTACTTGCTGCTATGATACATCCTGGTGGTGGTAGAAATGATATTCCACAACGTTTGAAACGACAATTTTGTACATTTAATTGTACATTACCATCAAATGTATCTATTGATAAAATATTTTCTGTTATTGCAACAGGACATTATGCTAAAGAACGTGGATTTACAGATGAAGTACGTTCACTTATTGACAGACTTGTACCAGCTACAAGACGTTTATGGCAATTAACAAAAGTTAAAATGTTACCAACACCAGCAAAATTTCATTATGTTTTTAATTTACGTGATCTTTCACGTATATGGCAAGGAATGATTAATACTATACCACAAGTTGTTAATAATGAAAAAACTTTAATTCATTTATGGAAACATGAATGTTCGCGAGTTATATGTGATAGGTAAACGAAAAATAAATTAAAAAAGTTCTTTTTTAACATATATATATCATTTTTAATAAAATCTGATTCGTATTCAATCAGATTTGTGGCTGAAGACGATATACTCTGGTTTGAAAAAACACTTCGACGTTTAACAGAAGAAGAATTAGGACCAACATTAGGTGCCTATATGCAACAAACTAAATATTTTGTCGATTTTCTCAGGTCTTTTCAGGATTTGAAATATCAAATACTAAAAATCCCAAAGTTTTGTTTTTTACACTTTGCACATGCACATGCACTTGGTTTGTTTTTTGAGTGTGTTTTGTTTTTATTTCACAGGTTCACTGATATTGAGGATTATCGTTGGTTTACGAAAACAGTTGAACGTGTAGCTGAAGAAGAATTAGGTGCAAAATATCAAGCTATGGTAAAAAAAGAAGAATATTTTGTCGATTTCTTAAGGTATCACATATCTCACATTTCACATTTAATATCTGTTTTATTTAAAATCTTTCTTGTATTTTTTTGTTTGTTTTTTTATTATTAATCATAATTAAATATTTTCTAGAGATGCTCCTGAACCAACAGGTGAAGAAGCAGAAGATGCTGATTTAGAGGCACCAAAGATTTATGAACCAATACCTTCATTTGAAGCTCTTGAAGAACGTTTAAAAATGTATTTAGCACAATATAATGAAAGTATTCGTGGTTCAGGAATGGATTTAGTCTTTTTTAAAGATGCAATGGCACATTTAGTTAAAATTTCTCGTATAATTCGAACACCACGTGGTAATGCATTATTAGTTGGTGTTGGTGGTAGTGGTAAACAATCATTAACAAAATTAGCATCCTTTATTGCTGGTTATAAAACATTTCAAATAACATTAACACGTGCATATAATACAAATAATTTATTAGAAGATTTAAAAACACTTTATCGTATTGCTGGAAAAGAAGGAAAAGGCATAACATTTATATTTTCTGATCAAGATATTAAAGATGAATCATTTCTTGAATATATTAATAATGTACTTTCATCAGGAGTGGTATGTTAAAATTCTATTTATGTGACTTTTTTTAATTTTTTTCTTTATAATAATTTTAATTATTAAATTTTAGGTTCCAGGAATGTTTCCTAGAGATGAAATGGATGAAATATGTCAAGAATTAGTACCTATTATGAAAAAACAATATCCAAGACGACCACCAACAAATGAAAATTTATATGATTATTTTCTATCTCGTGTTCGACAAAATTTACATGTTGTTTTATGTTTTTCACCAGTTGGTGAAAAATTTCGTAAACGAGGTACAAAATATTTTAATAAATTTTTTCAAAATTAATATAATTTCTTTCTTTTTTTCTTTCTTGTAAAGGTCTACAATTTCCTGGTCTTGTTGCAAATTGTACAATTGATTGGTTTCTTCGTTGGCCACGTGATGCACTTGTTGCTGTTGCTGATCATTTTCTTTCATCATTTAATATTGTTTGTACGGATGCAATTAAAAAAGAACTTGTTCAATGTATGGGTTCTGTACATGATGGTGTAGCTGAATATTGTTTACAATATTTTCAAAAATATCGTCGATCAACACATGTTACACCGAAATCATATCTTTCATTTATAAATGGTTATAAAGAAATTTATTCACAAAAATTAAATGAAATTGAATCTATGGCTAAACGGATGAATGATGGTCTTACACGTTTAGTTGAAGCTGAAAAAGCTGTAATAGTTATGAAAGAAGAATTAACAATTAAAGAAAAAGAATTAGATATAGCTAATAAAAAAGCTGATGAAGTTTTAAAAGAAGTTGCAGTTAAAAAAGGTGCAGCTGAAGTTGTTAAACAACAAGTACAAAAAGTTAAAGATACAGCACAAACATTAGTCGATGAAATTAATCGTGATAAAATCCAAGCTAATGCTGAACTTGAAAATGCTAAACCAGCATTACTTGTAAGTAATTAATTAATTTTATGAAAATATATTATATCAAATATAATCATATATATATATGATTTTAGGCAGCTGAAGAAGCTTTATTAACAATAACACCTGCTGATATTTCTGTTGTACGTAAACTTGGTCGTCCACCACGTCTTATTCGTCAAATTATGGATTGTGTTTTAATACTTTTTGGACGTCCATTAAGAAATCCATTAAAAATCGATCCTGAATTACAAGGACCTGAACCAAGTTGGGAAAGTTCATTAAAAGTATGTATCTAGATTACACTTTTCTTTTTGTGTTTTTTACAAAAAAAAAATATATAATAAATTTTGTTTTATTTTAGCTTATGTCCGATACAGGTTTTCTTCAAAATCTTCAAGCATTTCCACGTGATCGTATTAATGATGAACAAATTGAATTACTTCAAACATATTTTCGTGTACCTGATTATACATTTGAAGGTGCTAAAGTAGCTGCTGGTGCTATAGCTGGTTTATTAACATGGACACGTGCTATGGCTGATTTTTTTCATGTTAATAAACGTGTTTTACCATTAAAAGGAAATTTAGCTATGCAAGAAGCTCGTTTAATTAAAGCTAATGAACAATTACAAACAGCACAAGGAGAACTGGATCGCCGTGAAGCTGAAGTAGCTGCAGCACAAGCTGAATATGATGCTGCTATGGCAACAAAACAACGTTTACAAGATGATCTTGATCGAACATTAAAACGAATGACTGCAGCTAGAGAATTAATATCTGGTTTAGCTGATGAACAAGAACGATGGACTGAACAAAGTAAACAATTTAAAGCTCAAATTGGACGGTAAAAAAGACAGAAACAAAAAAAAGCACACATGAATAAAGTTTTCTTGTTTTTTTTTTTGTTTTTTCATCTTAGACTGGTTGGTGATGTACTTCTTTGTACTGGTTTTCTATCATATCAAGGTCCATTTAATCAAGATTTTCGTTTATTATTAGCAAAAGATTGGCAAAAATTATTAACCGAACGAAATATTCCATTTACACGAGGATTAAATGTAACGGAATATTTAACGGATGTAACAATAGTTGGTGAATGGAGATTACAAGGTTTACCAAATGATGAATTATCAATACAAAATGCTATTATTGTAACACGTGCTAAACGTTACCCATTATTAATTGATCCACAAGGACAAGGAAAAACTTGGATTAAAAATAAAGAAGCATCAACTGATTTACAATCAACAAATCTTTTATCAAAACATTTTCGACAACATTTAGAAGATGCATTATCACTTGGTCGGCCATTATTAATTGAAGATGTAGCTGAAGAACTTGATCCAGCATTAGATAATGTTTTAGAAAAAAATTTTATTCGTTCTGGTACAACACTTAAAGTTAAAGTTGGTGATAAAGAAATTGATATATTAAAAGGTTTTAATTTATATATAACAACAAAATTAGCTAATCCAGCATTTACACCAGAAATATCAGCTAAAACATCTGTTATTGATTTTACTGTTACAATGAAAGGTTTAGAAGATCAATTATTAGGTTTAACTATATTAAAAGAAAAAGCTGAATTAGAAAATGAACGTGTTAAAATGTTAGAAGATATACAAGCTAATAATAAACGTATGAAAGAACTTGAAGATAATTTATTATTTAGATTAAGTAATTCAAAAGTAAGTCTTAAAATTATTATTGAAATTTTTTTATTCATTAATATTTCTATAGGGTTCATTAGTTGATGATGATGATCTAATTCGAACATTAAAAACAACAAAAATAACATCAACTGATGTTAAACAAAAACTTCAAATAGCAACTGAAACTAGTCAAAAAATAAATATTGCTCGTGAAGAATATCGTCCAGTTGCAACACGTGGTTCAATTATTTATTTTCTTATTGTTGAAATGTCACTTGTTAATGTTATGTATCAAACATCATTAAAACAATTTTTACAATTATTTGATCAAGCACTTGAACGTTCACCACGAGTAAATTAATTATTTAAATTTATATATAATAATTAAATTTTGATATTCTTTTCTTTTTTTTTCTTCTTAATTAATTTTAGTCACCAGTTACATCAAAACGTATTACAAATATAATGGAATATTTAACATATGAAATGTATAAATATGCTGTTCGTGGTTATTATGAAGAACATAAATTTATGTTTACACTTTTATTAGCATTAAAAATTGATTTACAATCAAGTCGACTTAAATTTGATGAATTTCAAACATTAATTAAAGGTGGTGCATCAATTGATGCAAGCACAGGTATTGCTTTTTTTTGTATAGTTTTAATTTTGTATGTTTATATATATCCCATGTAAAAAAAAGACCGAGAAAAATCAGATTTTAATCGATTTTTTTCTGATTAAAAATCGATTTAAATGGCACGATTTTAATCGGATTTTAATCAGATTTTTAATCAGAAAAATCGATTTTAATCGATTTTTTTCTGATTAAAAATCGATTTAAATGGCATGGTTTCGATCGAAAAAAATCGATTAAAATTGATTTTTCTGATTAAAAATCGATTCAAATCGTGCCATTTAAATCGATTTTTAATCAGAAAAAAATCGATTAAAATCTGATTTTTTCCGGGACTTTTTACATCGATATGTTCGAATCGATTTTCATCGATTATTAATTCCTAATGGATTTGTATCAATTCTGACATGGCATCCAATTTTAATCGGTTCTTACTTGACATCTGATTTTAACCGATTCTTACCTTGTATCTGATTTTAATAGATTCTTACCTTCTATCTTGTTTTAATTGATTTGTGTTGGATAATCGATTTTAATGGATTTTTAAATTTTAATCGATTTTAATCATCAGCATCGAAAATAAGCGCTTTTCTCGAGATTCGAACATGGAACCCTATTTTTTAATGATTTTTTTCGAGAGCTCATCGAGAAATTACCATAGGGCTTCAGCTCTACAAACATAGTAAATTTGGAACTCCTATATATATTGAATCAATTGAGATTGCGCAATTACATAAATAATCGATTAAAATCGATTACAATCCAGATTAATCAATTAAAATCGATTAAAATTTATCACAGTTTTAATCGATAATTTGGGTTCCTTAAAAAAGTAGTTAGCGCAATCGTTGTAGAAATAAAATGTGAAACACAACCAAACCCATTCTCATTAACATCATGCAAACTGAAAATTCCATATATATTATGACATATTTCTGTCACTCTTCGCTTTGAACCAAAGAATTTCAAAAAGAAAACACTCACGAAATATTCCAGTTAAATGTTACTCATACATGTATCCTGAGAGTTCCTTGAAGGCGGATCTCACGGTTTGCACTGAATCGTAAACCTGTCTCACATGGTCCGTGACGGGTACAAACCCTATTTCCAATGTTCTGGATGTATGTGTGTGGGAGGAGGAGAAGGGAGGTCACGCGCTGAATTTCTACCCCATTTATATCAACAATCCTTTAATATTCTGTTTCACAATAAACGATTATTTCGAATTTTCTAAAAATAGTCTATTTTAATCGATTACCAGCATTAATCAATTACAATCGATTAGACTTTTAATCGATTATTTCGAATTTTCTGAAAATAATAGATTTTAATCCATTACTATCATTAATCGATTAAAATCAATTAGATTTTTAACCGATTATTTTGTATTTTCTAAAAATAATCGATTTTACCCGAGTACCAGCATTAACCGATTAAAATCAATTAGATTTGTAATCGACTATTTTGCATTTTCTAAAAATGATCGATTTTAATCGATGACCAGCATTAATCGATTAAAATCAATCAGATTTTTAATCGATTCTTCTGATTTTTCTAAACATAATCGATTTTAATCGATTATCAGCATTAATCGATTAAAATTAATTAGCTTTTTAATCGATTATTTCGAATTTTTTAAAAATAATCGATTTTAATCGATTACCAGCATAATCGATTAAAATCAATCAGATTTTTAATCGATTGTTCTGATTTTTCTAGAAATAACCGATTTTAACCGATTATTAGCATTAAATGATTAAAATTGATTATTTCGAATTTTCTAAAAATAATCTATTTTAATCAATTTTTACCTAAGTTAAATCGAATATAATCGATTTTTTACACGAATTTAATCAAAATTGCTCCTTTTAATCGATTTTTTCCGATTTTTCTCCGAAAAACCAATTTAAATCATATTTTTAGGCTGTTTTTTTTTACATGGGCAGAACGCCCGTCAATTAAGTTCCTTAAATATAAAATCTTTTATAGTTATAAACCATAATTCCTATTTTCTTAAAAAGGATATGGTTTTTGATCGATTAGATTTGTAATCTATTATTTTGGATTTTATAAAAAAATTCGTTTTAATCGACTCTTACTAATAATCGATTAAAATCGGTTAGACTTTTAATCGATTATTTCGGATTTTTTGAAAATAATCGATTTTAATCAATTACCAACATTAATCGATTAAAGTCGATTAGATTTTTAATCGATTATTTAGGATTTTTTGAAAATAATCGATTTTAATCGATTCATCAAAGTAATCGATTAAAGTCGATTAGATTTTTAATCGATTTTTTTGAATTTTCTAAGAATAATCGATTTTAATCGAGTTTTAGCTGTGTTAAATCGATTATAATCAATTTTTTACACGAATTTAATCAAAATTGCTTCTTTTAATCGATTTTTCCAGATTTTTCGCAGAAAAATCAATTTAAATCAGATTTTTAGGCTGTTATTTTTACATGGGATATATATATTATTTATTTTTAGCACCACCAAAACCACCATATAAATGGTTACAAAATGAAATTTGGCTGAATCTTGTTGAATTATCTAAACTTTATCAATTCGGTGATATTCTCAATTCTGTAAGTACTAAGTTTAAATTATATTTGATTTATTTATTAATTTCTTTATTTGTTTAGCTTAATCGTGCTGGTACAGCATGGGATACATGGTTTAAGGTATGTTAATAAAGAATGATTTTAAAATTTAAGAGTTAGTTTTTTTTTATTCTTTTTTATTATCTATTTCAAAATGCTTAAATTTGAATGTTGAATCTCTTTCAATTAGATGATTAAACAAATGAAAATTTTCTTATAGTAAGAGTCTTCAAAATGTATCAAAGAAATCATATTAAAATAAGATCTTGAAAAATAGTACAGTTACAATATTGATACTATATAACAAAATAAAAGAGTAAAAAACTATCTTTATTTATAAAAATGAAACTTCAATATTATTATTATAATTCAACTAAATGAGTTGATTCTTTTATTATTAATAAACGAATGTATATAGTTGAAATTTGTACGGCAAGCATAGATAATCTTTTTTTCAAATTGTGACTGTTCACTTCAATAAAAATAGTTCTCGTGTAGAAGAATAAAGCCGTTTACGGTAAAATGCGACACATTAACAAGGTCGTATTTCTCCATAAATACAGAGTTAGTAATGCATTCGTATGTACGATAAAATACAGCCATATTACAACATCTTTACGATGATAATATGACATCGTATACGGTCAGTAATACTAGGCGTGTTATAATGACAGTATATGGCATAAAAACGGTTGTTTACAGTGATCTGTAATGATTGACTTAGATCGTTTATTTCTCTAATGAAAACGAAATGGCAAATTATTTTTTCTATCAATTCTTTCTTCATACAATTATGTGGTTTTTTTATTCTACATATTGAAAAAGTTTCATATGTGAATACGATGAAATATTATTAGAAAACTGACATATCGTTTTCCATTACTCGTTCATGAGTGCTCTATCCTAGTGAATGTATTAAATTCGAGGTACCCACAAGGATACTCTACTACTCATATGACACAAGAACCTTAAGATACTTTATGAGTTTTTAATACTTTACTACTAGATGATTCGAAATGTTTAAACTACTATCTTGTTGAAAAACAACCAAGATCCTGTGACATACTGGTATCAGGGTACTCGAAAAAGTACCCTGTTGATAACTGACTCAATACACGAAGACCTTGGACTGTGTATATTCACTTGAGTGTTCTTTACTTAGCTCAATAATAATACTTCATAGTAGTAGTATTTTATTTTCTTGTTAAATATTTTTCTTATAGACATGGCTTTATCACGAGTAAAACAATCAAATTTTTAGATGAAAATCTAGCGAAAATATCTAAAGTTTTTGTTCCTACTAAAATGTCTTTTGAGTCATTCTGCATTTTATTCTCAATATAATAGGATAAGTAAAGATCTAAAAATTTTCATTTAATAATCATCTAGTTGAAAGAGTAATTAAAAATTTTTGAATTCATTCTCACAAAAATTTTCTTTTCTAATTCAAACCTATAATCAAGTTTCTCAATTGTGCAACAACAAGTTAGTATTTTGCTCGAAATTGATTTGCTGCTCTCTCATCTCGTTGTTTTTTTTAGTTTTAATAATCTTTATCTAAATATAATTTTCTTTTTTTTTTTTTTATAGAAAGATGAACCTGAACGTGCTGAATTACCCGATGGTTGGGAACCACAATTAGATAAATTTCGTCGTCTTCTTCTAATTCGTTCTTTAACACCTGCACGTTTTGTTAAATCTGCTCTTGATTATATAAATGATTCATTAGGACCAAGATATGGTGAAGGTGTTGTATTGGATATGGAAAAAATGTGGGATGAATCTGATAAATGTTCACCAATGATATGTTTTCTATCTATGGGTTCAGATCCAACTGTACAAATCGAAACATTAGCAAAAAAGAAATCAATTGATTGTAGTGCTATATCAATGGGACAAGGGCAAGAAGTTCATGCACGACGTTTATTAGCACAAGCTTATGCAAATGGTACATGGGTATTATTACAAAATTGTCATTTATCATTAGATTTTTGTGAAGAATTTTTATTACAATTAACAGAAAATACAGATCGTATTCATCCAGATTTTCGTCTTTGGATAACAACTGAACCTCATCTAAAATTTCCTATTGGTCTATTACAAATTTCAATTAAATATACAGCTGAACCACCACAAGGTGTTAAAGCTGGTTTAAAACGTACATTTGCTGGTTTAACACAAGAACAACAATTAGAATCAAATACACATGAAAAATGGCGTCCATTATTATATGCTGTTGCATTTTTACATACAATTGTACAAGAACGAAGAAAATTTGGTCCACTTGGATGGAATATACCATATGAATTTAATCAATCAGATTTTAATGCAACTGTTCAATTTATTCAAAATTATCTTGATGATATGGATGCAGCTAAAGTAACAAATTTATATGATTTAATTGGTTTGTTTTTTAAATAATTTTATTATCTTTCTAGCAAATGCAATGGAAAACTATTCATTACATGATTTCAGAAGTACAATATGGAGGTAAGAATAAAATATAATTAAAAAATAAAATAAATAATTTGTTTGTTTGTTTATTTGTTTTGTCTCGTTATATATTTAGGTCGTGTAACAGATGATTTTGATAAACGTCTTTTAAAAACATATGTTAAATGTTGGTTTCGTGATGAAATGTTTGATCCTAATTTTCAATTTGAAGAAAAAACTTATCGTATACCAAAAATGACACGTATTGAAGATGTTTTCGATTATATTGAAACAATACCAAATTATGATAGTGGAAAAGTATTTGGATTAAGTCCATTAGCTAATGATAGGTTTGTATAAATAATAAAATAAATTAAACTTGAAATTGAATTCTAAAAATTTTATCTTAATGAAATAACAATGAGAAATGATCAGAAAAATGTGAAATAGAATGTTCTATGATAAAGAATATGTCATATGAGGGAAGATTCATAGACATAAATCTCTGTTTTTCAATCGACTTTATACTAGGTTGTAGAGTTCGATGAGCTAATTATGATGGAATAAAATATTCTTTCTCATTGAATGTCTTTTTTAGTAGTTAAGTCAATCTTAACTTCAGAATGAAAACTTTAACACGGAATAAGTCTCAATTGACTGCACACATCTACATCATCAACATAAATAGAAGTCCTAACTATGTCGGTATTTTGAATATTGTAATACCATTAATAATATGGATGTACGGAATTGAACTATTTTTTCAAAATTTTTTATCTATACATGTGAAAAATAACTAAATAGAATACAGACTATTTTTTCTGAAATTCAGATCGATCTAAAATTCTCAAAGACTTTCAATATGGAAGTAATATTTTGTACTACTTCAATAAAAATTTTTATGAATTCTAATAAGTAAATGATTTAGAAAGAAAAAAAAGAACAGAACATTAAAAGATTTCATCACTTCTAGAATTTTCATCAATCAAATCTTCTCTTACATTCTATATTGAAAACATATTAAATATAATAATTACTTGCAAATATTTGATATAGAATTCACCAAAAAAAAAAAATTCGACAAATAATATCTTTAATTTTAATTAATTTAGATATCAAGAAGATACAACTAAAAAAGTTCTTGATACTATATTAAGTATTCAACCAAAAGAAGCTCGTGGTGGTGCAGGTGAAACACGTGAAGCTGTTATATATCGTTTAGCTACTGAAACATTAGAAAAATTACCACCAGATTATATTGCACATGAAGTTAAAGAACGTCTTTCAAAACTTGAACCAATGAATATATTTCTTCGACAAGAAATCGATCGTTTTCAACGTGTACTTAATGCTGTACGACGTACATTAATTGATTTAAAATTAGCTATTGATGGTACAATTGTTATGAATGAAGAATTACGTGATGCATTAGATCGAATGTATGATGGTAAAATTCCAAATATTTGGTTAAAATTATCATGGGAATCATCAACATTAGGTGCTTGGTTTACAGATTTATATGCACGAAATGAACAATATCGTTCTTGGTTAAAACTTGATAAAGATACAAGACCAATTGCTTTTTGGATGACAGGATTTTTTAATCCACAAGGATTTTTAACAGCTATGCGACAAGTAAAAAGACTCATTTTTATTTTTTTTTTTTTTTGTATAATTTATTTTTTTTTTCTTTTTAAAAGGAAGTAACAAGAGCTAATCCAGGTTGGTCATTAGATAATGTTGTTTTAACAAATAAAGTTACACGAATGGATCGTGAAGCATTAAAAGAAGCACCACGCGAAGGTCTTTATATATATGGTTTATATATTGAAGGAGCTAAAATAAAAAATGGTGTTTTGGATGAATTAAAAGCAAATGAAAAAGTTTTAACACATCCAATGCCTGTTATACATGTATCAGCTGAAGCTGATTTTGGTACAACTGCACCAGCAGTAAAACAAGATCGTCGTCCAGTTTATTATGCACCTGTTTATAAAAAACCACGTCGTACAGATAGAAATTATGTGTGTACACTTAAATTAGAATGTCCACCAGGTGATAAAGCTGGACCTGATGTATGGACATTAAGAGGTGTTGCACTTCTTTGTGATACGAAATAAACATTGTATTTTATGTTTTCTTGTGTCATTTTTTTTTTCTCTTTTTGTATAGTGAAACTATTTTAATGATTATTTAAGCATAACACGAATAAAAAAAAACAAACAACAAAAATCTTTTCTTCTTTTAACTTTTGTTATATGTTATTTAAGAGAATTGAAGTATTTTTATTGGCGCGAATGTTTTATTTCTGAATTATTTGAACAATATAGATATAACATGGAAGAGAAAATGAAACAATTATTTCTTAACATTTATGATTTAGTTTTGATTAATTATTGTCATTTTTTTTTGCATAATAGATCAAATATGTATGATAACAGTAGTTATCATTATGATCGATATGACTTTGATGAAAATTGAATTATAATTTGATGACACGTGATTTTTAGCTGTTGTTGTTATTGTTGTTGTTGTTCTAATAGTACTTTGATTGCCACCACCACCACTACTATTATTATTAGTTGAAGATTGGATACGATTCATAGTCACTTTACATAGATTGTTAGGTAATGTGTTCTAAAAGTTTAGTAAAACTTTTTTATGAAACAACAAAAGAAGTTATCAAAAATTTCATTGTGCTAATACTCGTTTTTTTTTTTGATTAATCAAACAAAAACAAAAAAAAGAACTAATAATGTTTTAATGGTTAAAATTCATCTAATTAAGAATAAAGAAACATAAGAATTGAAGATATTTGATGTAAATAGGAGAGACTTTTTTTTCTATTTGAATATTTTATAGTTTAATAAAACTTTTCTTTTTTTATCATCATAAAATTTATATATGAAACTAACTCGAATCAAAAAAATAAAATAAAATATTCGTAATATCAATACCTGTTCCAATAATACTTCCAAAGCATCAGCACCTCTCGGTGTAAAAGTACCCAATAAGGCAATAGTATTTGGATTTGAACCATTTGTGACTGTAAAATTTGTCAAACCTAGACTTCCTTTACAGTCATCACCACCTATTTGCAAAGCCCCGTGAAGTACATTATTATGATTTTGAATAACCAAGACATTTGCAGGACAGCAGCATTCTGTCATATTACAAGTACCCTGAAGCTGAAACCGACCAGTCCAGACGAAGGTTTCTATATATTTCCTAGATCGATGAATATTATATTTATATTATATAGCTTACTTATTGGTACGATAACCATCAATATGAAGTAAAAGATAAGAATAAGTGACATCATTTGTTAACTAGAATCAATGCCAAATAATTGTAGATATGATAAGAAAAGTTTGAATGTATGATTTTGTTTTGTGTTTGAGCACGCGCTCTTTATTGTGATATTCAATAGAATGCTTGGTTTTTTTTTCTAATGAATTTTATTGTCCCAAAGAAAGAGTAATTTAGAAAAAAAAGCGCCTGTTGCTGTGTGTATTTTTATTTTTCTGATGTGTTCTCATTATTTCAATACATACAAATAAAATTACAATCTTGTTTTGTTTTTTTTGAAAAAAAATTCATAGTAAGATAAACGTCTAGAGGATGTTTCAATTGAGATTTATTATTATTCAATTTTTTCAATTGAAATAGCAAAATCAAAAACAAAAAATATTTATAATGAGATTTTTCAACAGACTCGATGTTTTCTGTACTGAAATTTTTTGATATGCTGATAAAAAGTTGAAAGAAAAAATATCAAAAACAGTGATGTCTTTAATAAATGGTAACTCTAAGCATCTATAGTTCATTGTTGTTTTTCTTATAAGTCTAGTGGTCTGAATTTGTAATCACTAGTATTACACACCTAAAATTATATGATCATTGGTGAACGATATTATGGCGGTGTTACAATTGCTATAGAATACTTACAAATGAACATATCCAAGTGTCAAATTGCTATTGAGTCAGAACTATGTGCATCATACAGATCCTAATGAACTATGACTACCCCGGAAAAAAAGTTCAAGCTATTAGTTTATCGTTGCCGAAACATTGCATTTTTATGGGTTTTTTTGGTACAATGTCGTGGTCTTCTTGAGGAACACATAAGAACATCGGGACCTGTCAATGTATAAGGGTGAAGTTAAAAATGTGTTTTTACCTTAGTCGTATCTTAGGAAAGAAAAAACAAAATGATCTGAAACTTTCATAATAAACTATTCTCGTTAAGATCTGTCTCGGTGCAAAGTTTCAAGCCAAAATTCGAAACTTATCAGGTTGTCCGAAAAGTTAGTACAACGGCATCTGGATTGTATGCGTGAAATATTTAGTTTATATTATCGTGCAAAGCGTAAGTTTTTACCATGACGTAAGCCTTGTTTTGGCTGATTGCATCATTTTGTACGAAAAAGTTACTTTTCACCATTATATCTCTCTAAATTACAGCTATGTCGAGCATCGAGCAGTCATAAAGTCTTTTTACTTGAAAAGAACTCAAAGCTACTGGAATCACTACGAAATTGGAAAATGTTTATAAGGAATCTGCTCTACCGTACTGAACTGTTGCATACTGGGCAGCTGAATTCAAGAATTCAACATGCAACTTTGAAGATGTACCACGAAGTGATTGACTATCCACCACAATCACTGATGAAAACATTGAAGCCGTTGAACGTATTGTAATGCGTGATCGACAAATCTCTCGCTGTCGTGTAACCGACGAATTGAGTAGTCCAAAAACTATAGTCAACGAGATTATGAGCAATCAGTCGAGCATGTGCAAGGTCTGCATACGTTGAGTACTGAAATTCTTGACACCACTTCAATGTGTTAGTCGAGTGGAGTATTGTCAAGAGCTATTGCAAGAAAGTGAACCGAATCCGACCAACTTTCTCGATTGCATCGTGATCGAGAATAAGTCATGAGTGCATCACTATGACTCTCTCAGCTGCTTGGAAGTCGAGATCTGGAAGAAACCAACAGAAGAGATGCTAACACAACTCCATCAGTAGGCAAGATCCTAATGGTCATTTTTTGGCACAAAGACGGTGTGCTGGTCACCGACTATCGGATTCATGGAGAGACGATCAATGGATCCTATGATGCATCATTCATCGAGCAGCTACATGCTGCTATCCTAGAGAAACACCATAACAAAATCAGCCATGGAATGTTACTTCTTCATGACAACACGCCCGTCCACAAGAACAACGTTGTGCAGATTACTATTTGCCAGACCGACTTCGTCGACTTGAATTATTCTATCTATTCTTCGGATATTACATCTACTGATTACTACATGTTTTCATATTTGAAGAAATTTCTTCCTGTCAAGAGTTCTAATTCTGATGACGAAGTAATAACGACTATTGAGAACTACTTGAGTAATTTTGATTCGGAGTTATGTTTTAATGGCATAAATAGTTTGCGTGATCGTTGACAATGTGTAGTTGCTAATAAATGTCAGTACATTCAATAGATGCAGCAATCATTATACTGCGATTCCATTGTATATGAGTCTCAATAGCGATTTGACATTTGGATATGTTTCCTCGTTAGATGATTTATCATTTACAGTTGCTAAACGAAGACAGAGATACTCTAAACTTTTTCTTTCTTTATCTTTTGACTAATGTTTAATCTCTGTTAGAATGTTAATATTATTCAACACAATAAAGTATGTGCCTTATTAGTCCGAATTTTCTAATGCATTTTTCGGCCATTATCCATGTTGATAATTGTTTTTTTTGACAGTTTCACTGCCAACTAGTCTTTTCTTCTATCATTATATGAAATTGATGATAACCAATTGAAAATAAAAGAATTAATGACTATATTATCACAGACAAATATTGAATAGAATCTTTTATAAAAAGAAAATCTAATATTACCTTTGTTCGATATTTCTATTTTTATCAGATCTTTTGAAATATCATACAAGAAAAATTTCAATTAGATTTAATATAATATATTAAGATTTTTCAATTATTGTTCTTAAATATAATAACAGATTTACTTAATGAAATAGCATTGCTAACAATTAAATTCCTATATTTATCTTTCTCCTTTATCAATATCATAGAATCCAAGATTATATTTGTAAATATTCAAATAATCATCAATGTTATAACCGATGACAGCAGTAGATGATGCCTAACCAATTCCGTCTGTTATTGATTTTCTTCTCTTTTTTATCTGCTTTATTTATGATCTATTCTATATGAGTACGCATATATCGACATGCAAGGCCAATACTGACTCTATCCTTTCCCAAAAAAAAAAGGGCAAGAATATTTCTTAGTTACTCTAGTGGATCATATTGATTTGTTTTTGCACAGTGAGAGAGAAAGAACGAAGAAAATCAAGTATTCAATTCATTTTCTTATCTATATATGTATATATAATGACATCTTCAGCATTGATACCGATTAATAATGAGAAAAATTATTTTTTACAACCATCAAAATCATCATTAAATTGTTATTCAATACATGATCATGGTCATGGTTATCGAACATATTCATATGAATTTAATTTAAAAAATTATAAACCTGAACAAATAAATGTTTTAATTGATAATTCTAATAGATTACATATACATGCATATCATTCACTATGTCATGAATTTCGACGTGAATATAAACTAGGTGGATCAAATATTGAAGCAAAACTTATACGAAATACAGTTGATATATATGGACATCTTCGTATTGATGTAGATATTCGACCACGTCAATATAATATACTACCATCAATAAATAATAATATTCTAACATTTGATTTACATGGTTATCGACCTAAAAATGTAACTATTAGAATAAATGAAAATGGTTTATTAAAAATAAATGCACAACATTATGATAATGTAAATGAATATTGTATTAGTAGAGAATATTATCGTCAATATCAATTATCAAAAAATATTAATCCTAATCAAATACGAGCAAAATTTGATAATAATCATCAAATATTAACTATACAATTACCACAATCATTACCTAGAAGAAGTTCATCATGGGAACCTTATTATAATAAAAATGATTCATTAATTTATGGTAAAGAACCATATGGAAATCCATGTTATTGTAATCTTATGTAATTGAAAGACAATATTTTCTTTTTTGTAGTCTACTTTAAATTTTGTTAATAAAATATAGAAAAGTATTATTATTTATATACAGTTGGTCAAAAAAGTATCTGATCATCCTGTTTTAGTCTCATACAAAGACCTTATTCAAATAAACCCTTTAGAAAGTCCGACTCTTGTGAAACTCATATATATGGCAGAGAATTTTATTTGTTCTATCCAATGGAAGTATTTGAAGAAAAAAAACAACATGTTTCGAAATAGAAAATCATTTTTTGTAAAAAATAAATCCTTGCCAAATTTGGTGAAGAACTTCAATCGAAAAACTACTTATGCAGTTTTGTAGAGCAGCTCATAGCGCATCGAATAGTATATAGCAGATTGCATTTTCATCGAGTCTTGATGCATTTAAAATCTATGCATGTGAAAAAAGCTCAGTGTAGAAATAATCGTTCTGTGCATGCACAAAAATCCATTTTTGATATTGAAAAATTGGTCAATAATTCTACAAAGGATCTTTGATCTTGGTTTTTTTTTCTAATATTGATGCAAGACTCATCTGACTATCCGCGAGTAAAAAGAGAACTTTTGTAGTGTCTCCTCTCACTCAAAGAAAGTGATAAAAACTAGGTATGGGCATAAGATGTTTGTAAACGTTTACTCATTGTATGTTTCCCAACGAATATTTGGATGCTTAATGCATCAAGACTCGACGAAAATGCAATTTGCTATATACCATTCCATGTGCCATGAGCTGCTCTACAAAACTGCATAAGTAGTTTTTCGATTGAAGTTCTTCACCAAATTTGACAGGGACTTATTTTTCTCGAAAATTTTATGATTTTTCACAAAAAATGATTTTCTATTTCGAAACATGTTGTTTTTTTTCTTCAAAAAGCTCCATTGGATAGAACAAACAAAATTCTCTGCCATATACATGAGTTTCACAAGAGTCGAACTTTCTAAAGAGTTTATTTCAATAAAGTCTTTGTATGAGACTAAAACAGGATGATCAGATACTTTTTTGACCAACAGTATATATTGATTATAATTTTCGATATAGAAATAATCAATTATAACTCATTCTTCTACTATTTTTTGGATCAAATTACATCCAACATATATCTAGTAATGAAGAGATTTTATGGCGAAAAAAAATCAAACCACGTGCTGCATATGTAATAAATAATAAAAATAATTTTTAATTATGTAAATCATGAAATTAAAAATCAAATCTGTTTATGAGAAGCTTGAAAAGTTATCAATATGCTTTTACAAATAGAAAAATCTTTGACAATTTATAAAATCTGTTACTGTGACTTGACATTTAAATATTTGGAAAATAATAATAATAATAATAATATTAATTGCTTAGCGATATCTTTACTCGTTGTAATTAAAGATTGAGCGCGATCAATATTAATTAAATTAAGACTAGAAATCAATTGAGAAAAGTGTATAACTGTATTCTAATATGTATTATAATGTTACATTCAAGAATTCATTTTATTTAAATATCTCCAATTAGTATTCATCAAAATAATATTCATCTGCATTATAATAATCATTCATATATTAAGATTAGTCATTATAAATCTTCTGTTGTTTTTATATATCAATTACATTTTTGACTAGAAATCGAACAAAAAAAGAAAATATCAATTTAAAATGTTTGATTTATATTATGTGAAACAAAAACCAGATGTTATTAAGAAAAACTGTCTATAAATAGCTGAAAAGATATATAAACTAATCTAACTCTAGTTTCTTATCAATCAAACCATATTTGATGTATCTATTATCAACTGATCAATCAATCATAGCTTAAAACCGCATAGAAATAATATCAATTATAAAAAAAAAACAACCAGTTTGTAAGAAAAAAACCAGTATGACAGTTAATGATACGAAAAAAAAAGATATCAGTTATCAAATATCTTAAATCAAATCTCTTGTCATAAAAATCTAAATAAAAAAAAAAGTTGGTAAATATTAGTTTTCATTGTTTTTCTCAAGTATTAAACTATTAAAAGAAAAAAAAAAGATCTACTTTTCAATAGATGTCATTCTATAACAGAAAAATTACAAAAAGAAACCATACAATTGATCGATTGGTAATGGACGAATCTCTTGTATTCTGATTAGTCAAATATTCTCTATGCACAAAGAACAATTCCCCAAAAATGAAATTTTTTTTTATTTTCATCCGATAATATAAATAATATGTTCACCTATGTCTGTAATTGACTAATGTATATTCAACCAACACCTTATACACGTTCATTAACATCAACGAATATTGCTCAAACAATGCATACACCATTATCAACAACGTCAAATAATAATACAATACGTTTATCACAAGAACATCGTGCACGTCTTTATCAAATAGTAAATGAATTAACTGATGATCAATTACGTTTATTTCTTACAAATCATATAAATTCTTTATCAAATACAACATTGAATAATCAATTTCAACATTATTCACGTACACAATTAATACAACAAACATATATTCTTATTGATAATTATTATTCTGTTGATCTTGAACAAACACTTTATGCAATGAGACAGAAACGTTTTCAACCTGATTATCAACAACAGCAACAAATATATCGACAACAAACTCAACAGCAACAACAAACTTATGCTACACCATACAATCCACAACCATATTATTATACTCAACAAACAATACCATATAATATTCAACCGAATTATCGTCTTCCAACACCATCAAATGTTTCACAACAATTAAGATCAAGTAAAAAATATTTTATTTTTCTATAAAATTGTCTTATGATTGTAATGAAAATAATATTATCTATTTCAAATATTTATAAGAAATACAAACGTAAAATACTAATTACTTGTAAATATCGATTAGATATGTTTAGAGAAATTTAATATTAATTCGAATTATAAGATTTTAATATATTAAAAGATATTTTCTTATTATCAATTTCATTCGTTTTTCTTTGATATACATTTAGTTTAAGTTGAAGTTTTTGATATTTTGTCCGAAAAACAAAAACCTAGTATTTACGTATAATTTTTGTTTTCGATGGCTATTAATAAGATAAAACTTAAAATTTTTATTATGAAGAAGAGTAAATAAAATAATTGATCGGTAAAAGAATAAAAATACTCATTAATTATGGTTCTTAAAGTTATTGAAAATAACATCTTTTTGATCGATTTAAAAAAAATTATAATTAATTAAAACTTTTTTTTTAATCATCTTTTTAACCTTAGCATCAACCACGAAATTTTCAGTAAAATCTCTTAAAAATATATCTTAATTCTAAGTGTGAAACAAACGAAACAGGATGATATTGGCAACGATAGATAAATTAAAAGTAATACGATTAGTTATCGAATTTGCATATCTATATCTCAATTTATATTCAATTCATGTTTTATTTCATTTTACGTACAAATATGAATATTGAGATTAATACACAATGGAGGTAATTCATTATACTATCGCTTTCTAATGCCAACAAAACACTCTGACAATCAAAATACTGCATCTTATCAACGCTATCTATCATGTAATTCTTTTTTTATTTGTGGTTAATAGAGTTAAATCAAAGTAATTTAACATAACAAAAGAAAATAAATTTTATCAAATTGATAATTAACAACAATCAATATATATAGATATATATATATAAATCTTAAATTGTTTTTTGTTTTAGTACGGCCTAATCCTAATCCTACTCAACCTACAAATGCTCATAATCAACGTTCTCAAAATTCTCGTTCTCAACAGCAACAACAACAGCAGCAAGCTCCGTATGTTCCTTCTATTTTATCTCGTCAACAATATATTCAACAACCACCAGCATCTACAACAACAACAACAACGAATGGTTTATCATCATCAGCATCAACATCTGTTATGCCTCGATATCAAATTCCAATTCTACCACCTCCACCATCAAATATGACTCGACCAATTCTTTCAACTTCATCATCATCATCAACATTAAATATAACTCATAAAACTTTACCATTTTATCGTCCATTAACATGTGTCTATGAATGTTATCATGTGTTTCGCTATGATACATATCGTAAACAATATTTTTCTCGAAATGATTTTATTTTATCACTTGATGTATGTAATCAATTAGCATTATCATATGATTATGATTCTGATCTTGATATACATAAAACAACAAAATGTTTGATTATGCGTCTTGTACGTATTGATCAACCACCTATGTCAAATGGTAAATATGATGATAATCTTCCACCAAATTTAGTTATGCATGTAAATTCACAAAATGTAACTAATTTACCAACACCAAAACCATGTACAAGACAACAAACTGATTTAATACGTATTGGACGTGAAATTGATATAACATCATATTGTATGTTTAATCCCGTATTAAATAATGAATTAACAATGACATGGTCATATCGTCAAGATAATACAAATTTACATTTACAATATATTAATTCACAATATGCATTACATATATTTCTTGTACAACATTTAACTATCGAAGATTTATGTGAACAAATTAAAAATAAAACATCAAAATTTTATCGTGAAGATTTAGTTAAATTATTAGCTAAAGCAATTGCAACTGATCGTGATCTTGGTTTAGAAGTTAGTGATCAAAAATTAAAATTAAAATGTCCTATTGATCAAAGACGATTAAAAATACCAATACGAGCTATAACTTGTCAACATTTACAATGTTTTGATTTAAAAAATTATATTGGTATAAAAATTTTCTTTCTTTATTTTTTCCATAGAGTAATCGTTTTGATTTAGAGAGCAAAAAAACATCATTTCTTCTTTGCACTTAATGAAAAGCTCTTTAACCACTTGCCTAATTCATCATTATTTTCAAGTGTTAATATCCGTCCTTTTATTGATAAATAAAGTTCTACATGTCTTTACTATGTCACAGATAGAAGACTTTAATCTACTGTGATTGTAAGATGAAGTGACAATTCTATTGTCTGGAATAGTCTCCGCATAGATCTCCGCTCTATAAATGGTTATAATTATGAAATTTTCAGATAGTACTTGATTATAACAGACAACTCATTAGAGAAAATTTTTAAAGCACATAATCGGAATTACTATTTTTTCTTTTTTAACGAATCCTATCAATTCTCATGCTAAGAACAGGCAAAGATAATTTCATCAATCAAAATAAATTATAATCGTTTAACATGAAATTTTTATCGATGATAGTGGCAACACTGATCTCTTGGATGAGGTACAATGTGCAATTTCTATCGAACACGTAGACATGACTTATTTTCTGTTGAAAACGAATTTTTTTTTCTTTCATAGAAATATTAAATTCTTATACTCAAAAAAAAGATTGATGAAAAATCCCTGAAGGAAACTCTTACCTTGAACTCCTATGAAAAATTTTTTTTATTTGAAAAATTAACAAATGGTAAATCACTTGATGCAGTTTCTCATGCCGATTTCAAATATGTCCTTATTTTTTTTATTAGAATATTTCTATGACAAAGAAATCATGAAAAATCTTTAAAAAGCAAGGCATTTAAAAAATCTATATCTCAATTCAAAAGCATTGACGTTAACTAAGTGTATGTCTCAGATATAGAAGAATGTTCTTTGGAAATTTTGTCGATATCAGATTAGTAGAAAAAAGTGTAGCGATCAACTTTATTGAACATGTCTTTTCGGAAAACGTTTACAGGAGAAGGTCTCGAGATTATAACAGGCTTCAAAGAGTTCGTACTGACATTAAGATTTAACCGAGATATTGACTTTTCAATGAATTTTGCTCTGTATGTAATCAATTTTTCGATAAAATTCTATTGTCTAGTTTTGATCTAAAAACTTTGTCCAGATGAAGATCTCAGTGAGATTAGCTTATACATAAAGTTTTAGAAGTTTTTGATCGAGTATCTCTGAGATGTGCAACTTGCAAAATATATGTTTTACACAGTAATTTTGAATTCTTTCATTATTTGTATTTTTACTTTTTCTGTTAAAAAAACAAAACAACATTTACATTTTATTTTTAGCTTTAAATGAAAAAGCTGGTAAATGGATCTGTCCCGTATGTAACAAATCCGCTTTATTTGATGATTTACAAATTGATTCTTATACGGAATCAATATTAAATTCAATGGAAAATGAAAATATAACAGAAATAATAATTGATAGTAATTTAAATTGGACACCTGTAACATCATCATCATCATCATCTCTAATTACTGAACAACAACATCAACAACAACAACAACAAATAACATCAAATATTGATGATATTATATTAGATGATGATCAAATTAATGAAAGACATCAAGAAATTGATTCAAAATTCAAAATTCAATTAATCCCATCATCAACAAATGGATCAGCTGATGTGATTCTTATTGATGATGATTAACTAAATTTTCTGTATTTGTGTTTTTTTTTGTATGATATCAAAGCAAAACGAAACGAAAAGAAGAAAAGAAAACAAAATTATTGTATATTTCTGTAATAAAGAAAGAGAAAAACGAATGATTTATCTTGTTTTCAGATAATGAATAATTTAACAGATGAACAACGTTATCTACAATTACAAACATTACCTATTAATGATCTACAAACATTATTAACATTTGCTGGACAATCACGAACTGGTAAACGACAAGAATTAGTTGATCGTTGTCATGCTTTAATGAAATCATCAATGGTAATAAGAGAAAAATGTGATGAATTACATAATAAACGTTTTGGACAAGGTGAAAAACCTACAATACCATATCCAAGAGATTCAACAAATACATTACGAACTACACATCATCATTTACATTCAAATCAACAACAAAATGTTGAAATACGTTTTGCACCATTTACATTTAATGAAGATTTATGTGTTATTTCACCACCACATGCAATTGCACCATCAAAACAATCAGCAAATGGAACACAATCATTGGCTAATTTTTATTTTTTATTAACAGCACAACAAGCATCAGGTTTGAAACAAAAACAATGAATTTATTAATAAATAAACTTGATTAAATAAGCAAACGATGATTAATAGAGATTACTTTCTTATATAAATTAAAATGAAGAGTTGAAGATTATTAACTAACGAGGAAACATTTCCAGGTATCTGCCTCATTTTGAACTGATATTTTGTTCTCGAACGTTCCTTGTTGAGTTTTGAATTGTTTGAATATTTTCCATGCATGTGAAAGTCATTCCAAATGGTTTTTAGTCAAAATTAAAAGGTAAGAGATTGTAAATCTTTTTGAGAGTGAACTTAATAATAAGTAAATTTTATTAGACCTTCCAACGTTTTTGTTTTCTTCGGTACCATTTCCATTAGGACACAAACTATTCGTCTTCATGATTTTCATATGAAACTGAGTATATACTATTCAGTAGTACAATAAATACTTTTATTTCAAGAGAAAATCCTAGTGAAATATCAAGATTTATCATCTGTGAACTTCTTAAAGTTTTAACATGCGGAAAGTTTAGTATAATCTAGTTATTATTAAGTTCACTTTGAAAAAGATTTACAATCTTCTAACTTTTCACTCGAACAATTCAAAACTCGGCAAGAAACATCCATGGACACAAATTCTTGAGAGACTTTTCATAGCTCATTAAGACATACTTATTAGCAAAATATTAGCTCAAAAGGATGCAAACACCTGAGAATGTTTTTCTTACGAGTAATGTAAACTCATTGAAAACAAACACTGATTATTAGTTCTTCTGTTCAAATCAAAAAGTTTTGAATAATTGATAGTAACACATCATTAGTTGATATACATCGGTCAGATACTCTTGATGATCAGCTTTGAATCGAAATGTATTATAGTAAATGAAAAAGATCGACTAATGTTCATAGAAATTGTTCGTCACTTAATACTTATAACTTCATATCATATGAATCAGATTCACCGAGAACGCATTAATACATTCAAATATCTTCTATGAAATTCTAAAAAACTAAAGATCGATATTTTCCTTCATTTTTGAATTATGTTTCATGAATATTTTTATATTTTTTGTAAAATATAGATGTAGCAACATCAACATTCTATAGTACTGATCAATCGAAAATTGAATATCGAAAACAAATCTTACTAAGATTTACAACCATTGGTGGTGATTCAACACACAATGGTATCAATGCTCCCGATAAATTACCACCAAATCTTCATGTTATTGTTAATAGTCGAGCAGTTCTATTACCTCAACCAAAACCAACAGCAAAACCAAATTCAGATGTTATTCGACCAGGTCTTGGTTTTTTTTTGTTTTGTATATTTTCAAATATTCAATATTTTCTATGCTATTATTTTAATTTAGGTCGACCAATTGATATAACAGAATATTGTCGCTTATGTCCATTAATATCAAATTTAATTGAAATATCTTGGTTTACTCAAGATTTATCAGTTCCACCTCCAACATATGTTGCTGCTGTTTTTCTAACTGAACGTAAAACAGTTCCACAATTATTAGCACGTCTTTCTCGCCCATCAGCTATTCGACCATCAATTGAAACTCAACGTACAATAACACAAATTTTATCAGCTTCACAAACTCCACAAGGAATTGATAATGATCTTGAAGTTGCATCAACATCACTTCGTTTACCACTTGATTGTCCAGCTATGCGTATACGAATGCGATTACCTGGAAGAGCGGTAACATGTAAACATGTTCATTGTTTTGATTTAGAAGGTTATTTACGTATGAATGAAAAAAAACCAAGTAAAGTCTATATAAATAATAAGTCGCTTTTTTCTTTTTTTACTAATAATTTTTTTTTTTTCGTTTTATCTAAGCTTGGCTTTGCCCTGTATGCAATAAACAAGCATTATATACAGATTTATTTGTTGATCAATTTTTTATTGATATTATTGGTAAATGTTCATCTGATGCTAAAGCTATTGAATATGAAACTAATGGACAATGGAAAGCTGTTGGAGAAGAAAAATTATCTCGACGAGCACAACGAGAAAGAGAAGCTTATAAAGCAGCACAAGCAGCAAAAAATACGAATGGAAAATCAACTGCAGATATTGATCATTCAGGTGATGATGATTCAAATGATGAACGAGCACTTACAAGTAAGTTAAATTAACAAAACAATAAATGAATTAAATAATATTTTCTCATTTTCTTTTATTTTTAATAGAATCGACTGAACGCCCGACTACAACCAATAATGCCCAAGATGACATTCCTATTATTGAGCTAGATGATGATTAATAATTGTTTTTCTTTTTCTTCTTTTTTTTTATTCTATTTCTCTCGTGCGCTCTGTGTGAATGTACAGTTGAAACAATAAATTATGCACACACATGAATACGTATAAAAAAAAGAAAAGAAAACAGAACGTCTATTTTGTCTTAATAGGCTACACGACGTAATTCCATAGAATTTGGATCGTTTGAAGGTTTATTTTGTATTCGTAAATTTTTACGGGATTTCGAGTAACATATATATATACCAGTAACAATAACAAGTAATCCAATAGCTACTAAACCACCAGCAATACTACCGACAATAATCCACGTAGGATTAGGTGGTGCTATGAAAGATAAGAATAGATTGAATAAACGATTATATTATAGAAGATTCTCACGTGTAGGACTTGTATAGTCTGTTGTTGGAGTAGCTGTTGTTGATGTCAATCCGACTGTAGGTAACGATTGCTCTTCTGTACATGAAATAATCGATGTTTCAGTATTCATCATATTTGTGAAAATCATTTAATATTATTTGCTTACCAGCATCCTTAAAAAAGAATTCATATCTTAGAAAAATTCAACAGGATTAGATTTCATCTTTACATCATGATAGATCATTATTTTAGGTTCATTCGGAGTCAAACTTTTAATCATAAAAGAGTCTTATAATGGAAATTACCTTGCGAAATCTTTAATCATAGCATTATCATAATGGTAAACAGAATGTTTCGGATAAAACTTAACAGTTTTTGAATCATCATTGTTTATAAACATTCTAACTAGTCTTTACTAACAGATCCATGGAAAGATTGTTCTTTATCAATATTAATTTCTCTGTTTTTCCAAAGCAAAAATCAGTTACAAACATTATTCTTAGTTACATCGTTAAAATAAATATCAAATTTAAAAAACTTATTCGTTTAGAGTAAAACACATCATTAATTCCGATAACCTTATTTCATGAAAAACAAACTTTCTATATAGTTCTTTTCTATAACAAAAGCTCCTTTTTTTTTGGTTACACCTACAATGTCCAAGGCTCATTAGTCAACTACGAGTTTCTTTTTTTTAATGTACTCACAATTGCATTTTGACCTTGTGCATATATAATGATAAATCCCACTAAAAAAAATGGTATTATAAATAAATAATTGAAGTAATATATTCAATTTAAACGTATACAAATTAGGATCCATTGTAAATAGAAGATTTGCATTGATTCGGCTACCTGATAAATATTTTCATACAACAAATAACCTACGTTTGCTTTCTATGTGAGCAGCATGATGATAAAAGATAACAGAAAAAAAAATGTGTTGCATAGCGACAGATATGATAATAGTTTGTCAAAGCAAACACAAACATCTATCTTCACTTCGAAATATTAATATTAGCTGATACTTTGGATGATTCTTTTTTTTTTTGTATTTAAACATATTATAATCCTAAACTGTTGATATTATCATTTTCGAGATTTATCAATGATTTTATTGTGTATTATTTATATCAATCATTTTAATCAATAAATCATTTGGAAAAATTCTATTTACTGTAAAAACTTAGAGTGTTGTCAAAGTAGTCTTGTATAAAAATATGTTCTATATTTTCTTTTCTGGACTTAAATACTATGTAGCATCTTTTTATAAAAAAAGAAGAGATAACTATTTTGGAACAACAGAATATAAAAATATTCGTTTACCTTCAACATTTTTTATCTTAATTTTATTATGGTCCGATGTAAAACAAATACTGACATCTACCACTTTTCAGTATATGATCACCTTTAAACGATAGAAAAATTTAAAAAAATAAACATTATTTCTTCAGATTTTTCACGTCTTCGAAAAAAAAAACGATTTCAATTGATATTACTATTGAATAATTACTTTGCTACTATTATAGGTTTTTTTTTCGAGTAAAAAAATAACGCTTTATATAAAAAACTTCTTAAATAGTTTACTTATAACTATTTAACCAGGTATTTCAAGTGAACTTTAGTACTTACTAATGAAATCGCAATCATGGTTTTCTACATAGGATGCTTTCTTCGATCTTGTAATGAAATGACGCTGATGTATGATATAATCAAAATGTTGTTATTTTTATCTTCGTTAACCATCTCCATCAGAATTAATTTTAATATAAATATGTAATAATCTGTGCACCTAATAATTTCCATTTTAGAAGGGACTTCTAGTTCATATGTTGGATATATCAGAGAAACATATACTCATTTTGTAGTGATTTACAATTGGCTATAAAGTATCTTACGTCTTTTTTGTTGTATTGGTTTAGCTTATTCGTCTGAATTGAAAGCTTTTATTAAGAAAAAACAAAGATTTGTTCTTTTTACTACACGTTTCTCGACGAGTTTCCGTTGATTCCTATTAACTGTATCTAAAGTATCTCTTGTTTCAAAAATCATACATTTTTGTTAAATAATCGATTATATAAATAGATATAACAATAATCTATCAATCTATCAATGATATTATCAGACAAGAGTTTCATAATTGCATGATGATTTATAAGATAACAGTTAACTAGAAATCAGATAATATCATTGTTTATCAAACTTTTTCAATAAACCATAAATTAGTAGGCATAGATTTCAAGTCTTTCAAATTATTAACTCCTATGTAAAAAAAAGAAACAACAAAAGTCTAAACTAAAGAAAACAAAAACCTCGAAAGTTTAATAAATTTGATTGCATTGGAAATTATTTGTTTTTAGTTGTAAGATCACGTCAATAATCGATAGAATAATTGAGTAATCTATGTCATATAATGACAATTGCCAGATCATATAAGTATCATTATTATTATTATTATTATTATTATTATATATTAAATGAAATATTTTGTTCATGACTTTTGAAGAATCTATTACAATTAATAAGCTTTGATAAATGACAGTTATTTCTTATAAGACATTCTTCATCTAGATACAGAAACATATCTTTCATCAACATGTGTGAAAGCCATTAATATCAACATTCAGCAAACATACGACACCATCGAGATCAATGGATATAATTCGATCATGATCGATGATTACATGTAAATCACATTGATGATAAAATCTTTGCCCTATTCATAGGATTGCTGTTCTTTTTTTTTTTGTTCTTGTCATTTTCTTGTTTAAGAAAAGGAAACACGTAATATGTCTTGTCCTTGGCACCTTTTCAACTTGAACATTGTATTAGCTGGTAGACAAAAAGAAAAAGAAGGGAACAAAAGTTGTTCATCTTTTTTTTCCTTTCTTTTTCATCTTTTTTTTTAGCTTATAGTTCGATCGCAGATAAAAATTTGTCTTGCTGCTCTTATTGCTTGACAAAGCAATTCCGTTTTTTCTTTCTCTTGCTTTCTTACAGACGCTCATGTTCAGCCACTCCTTAAACTAAATGACTATTCTCTCCCTCTCTCTCACTTGCATACACAGGCATACTCTCTTCTCTTTCATCGTATCCATGTAGAGGAGAAATATAGACACATAGAGAAAAAAAAAACGACGACGAAGAAAAAAAAAAAAGTTCATTAAATAAGACTAAGCACAGAAATAACGACAAGAATTGCTGTTGTATTTCTTTCATCTTTATTTTGACTCATACAGAAGATGACTTCACACAAATCTTCCTATCAAGTTGTTGCTGAAGCTGAAACATTACTTATTTATGGAATATTTCTATTTTTAACTGGTTTAGTACAAATTGGAGTAGCTATTGGTCATCGATTTATTATTGAAAAACATAATAACCATAATGATAATATAAATTTTGCTCATTTTTTTCCGACATCATTTCCTATGGCTGAGATTCATATTTGGTACGTTTATCCATCCGCTTCATTGGTAAGTTTTCTTTTGTAACAAATAAAAAAAAAAGACGTGATAATCAATGAATCGATCTTCATACAAAGAGCATATCAAAATGTCATATGTGACAATAGTTGAATAATATTGAACATAAATCCTCTTTATCCTTTTCGTTTTATATCAAATCAAATGATTTCTTTCTTTTTTAAATAAAGCAAACTAAACTTTTTTTTTTCTTTCTAATCGATTAAATTGATTTTTAATATCAAGAATAAAATGTTTATTTTCATTATCCTATTCAAATATTCATAGAGAATGGAACTATATTTACTCTATTTTAATATTAACGGTAACAATTTCCTTTTCTTTTTTTTGTTTCTTGGTGGAGATCAAAAACAAGAAGTTTTCAATACAATAGATTAATATATGATATATACATTATAAAATTTATTCTCACTTGTTCAGATGTTATTTTCTTTGAATTAAATAAATAATGTACATTTTTCTTTCTCATATCTCATTCAAATTTTCATTTATTTAAATATTTAATAAATACTTTTTTTTGTTAGACAATGATTCCATGTCTTTGTTGTATCATTTTTGCTATATGCAAACGACGTACTATGGTAAAATTAATTAGAAAAAAAAAATTTTTTTTTTTTTAAAGAACATATTATATTTAGGCTACTTTAATTTGTATGTCTTCTTTTATAAGTTTTATTTCATCGTCAGTTTATATTGGTCTTCTTATTATTCATACACTTGAATATTGGCAAACAATTGAATCTCATCGTTTGCAATCTCTTCTATCAACTACGATATCAACATCTACGTCAACAATGTAAATTTTTTCTCCTATTTACTCAGGATTTTTCTTTATTGTCTTCAATTATTATATAGACGCCTTTTTGTGTCATTTGATGAACCAGCAAGTTTTGCTAATTTAGCACTACTTATCACATTTACATTAGCACTTGTTCAAGCATTGTTATCAATGATTGGTGCAGTTATATCTTGTCTTTGGTCACCATGTTGTATTAATTCATCACGAAATTATACACCAATAGCAACTAATTCCCATTATGCTCAAACAACATCACATCGATTCGAAGTATATTTCAATAATATAATTCTTTTTTATTTTTTGTCTTATGTCTCTTTATTTAGAATCCTCAATTATCAACACTACGAAGTGTAAAACGCCAGCAGCATCAAGAAACTCATCAATTTCTCACAAGAAATGAATCTCAAGATCCAGTGATAAATGGTTTTCTTCATAAAAATCTACCTACTCGTAATAACTATGATAATGTTTAAATGCATTGTATATTTGTCCTTGTAAATATATATTGTCATTGCTATTTTATCCGTCTACATATTTTTTTTTTCTTAAGGGAAAAAAAAGAGCATTTATTTGTCATTCAGTACAATCGGAGCAGTAATAAAATTGTTCACAAAGTGTTTTTTCGATCAAATAAGTACCAGTGAATATTGAATTCACGATTACAAGGAATAGCAAAAAAAAAAAAGAAACAAATTTTTATTATTATTTTCTTTGTTATTTAAAAAAGTGTGCGACATAAATTTTTCTTTCATTAAGTGTATTTATGCTAAGATAATTTTCTTTTATTTTCATGAAATAATTTATAAATTAAACAAAGAAAAAGCACTTACGCATAAATAAATAATATTCAATTTTTTAAATGAAATGTTCTATTTTTGTATAAAAATAGAAAACATAACAAATACTATTTGATTATTCTATATTAATAATTCACAGAAATTACTATAACATTTATTTTTATCTATAAAAAGAAATAATGTTAATTTTTTGAATAAACTATATATTTGTTCAACTAAATTTTGTATGCCAAAGACAATTAAACATTCATTTATATGCTTTTCTTTTTTTACTAGACGAAGATATTCATGAATCGTTGAGCCATGAAATTACATATTCTTTTGGTCAAGACCTGGATCAAACTATTTCTGTTAGATCAAGTGGATGGGATTAAGTAACCTAGTTATTAATGAATCGAAATAAGCATGAGAAGTTTATCGACTTGGAAAATGTATTTTATAATATTTACTGAAGGAACTGAGTTAATTTATAGACTTGATTAATATACGATATTAAAGTCTAAACTCACATGATAATAAAAAATGTGTCAATGTCATATTTGTGCGGATTCAAAAAGATGTTAATTGAATCTACAAAAATACTCTAATCTGTATATTATATATCAAAAAAAAAAAACAAACTTAAATTTCAATTAGAAAAAAAATTCAGTTGATTTTGCTATAGAATTTTTATCATTTATTTTATTATGTTTTCCAATAATTGCATGCCTATATAGTTTTAATATCTAAATCTGGTTGACTCTTTTCTATTTCCTGTAAAAAGTTTTTTTCACTTTCCATTCAAGTGATTATTGGTACAATTAAGCACAGATTGTTGTTTTTTTCTATTAATGGATTTTTTTAAAATGATTTTTATATTACGTATTACAATAGGTGTAAATATTTTGCTAAATGTTTGCATTATTCTTTCTTTTTTTATTTATTTATGACTAAATCAAAGCTTCTATGTTTAAGAAAAAAATTTTCTTCTACAAAATTGACAAAAATAAATCTTTTCATTTTTTTCCGATATATTTTTTCACTATCCTTTATATAGTGCCGTTTGTCTTTTTTTTTGTTTTATTGATAAACAAGTAAATGTAGATAGAAAACGAGATCATCTACATATGTAGGTTAATAACCCAACATGATTTTTCTTTTATATTTATCTATTTTTGTATGTCTTTTGCCTATCGGTCTCATTTGATATCTGTAACTTGAGGTCATCGAATTCGTAGTTAAATGATGACACTCATGTTTGGTAAGGCGGAAAGAAATCAGTTATGCGAACAAGCACGTTCCATGTTTGTCGTCATCCTTTTTTTTTTTACTAATTTATTCTCTTAGAAGTTTTTTTTCTTCTTTTTCTAATGCTTGCTTCTGTTTTTTATTAAGCATGACGCATGCAGATAGATATAAAAAGGCACAGCACTTTACAAGTTTCTGGGAAATAATAATTATTATAATAGATAGATAGTAACATCTTTTTCTTTTTTTTTTTGTTCTTAGCTTTTCTTTTCATTTTTTGTGATGGTTGCATGTTCATTTAAAAAAAGAAGGATTTTTCATGCGATCTTAGTTCTTTCGCAAGTGCTTGAGATTATATGTGTGTGATGAGAAGTATGGAATAGAGACAGGAGGAAAACAGCAATAAACATCCTTCTTCTCATCACCATCATCTAATTTCATTGCATCGGACATGTAGATAGAAACAAATAATGAGACTATGAAAAGTAAAATAAGAATAGAAGAAACTAGATATTTATAATTATATCGATTATCAAATAAATTTGTTATTTTATTTCTTTTATTTTTTGATATTCTCTAATTGTAATTTTGTTAGAATTTAATCTTTTATTTTAAATAATTACATAGAGAAAAACAAAAGACATCTTAGTTTATTTATATAATAAATGAAATTCTCTCTTGTTCTGTTTTCTCATTCGATATACTACTACTACTACAGTTGATTAATCAAGTGAGTCTGTCTTAAGGTATTTGTCTTTCTTTATCTGAGTTTGCTTTTCAATAAACTATAAGAACATATAGAATTGATTCAAATTCATCAACAAGTGCCATAATAGATATAGATGAATGAATAAATAATAAAAAGAAGGGATATTTATAGCTAAAAGGTTGTTCTTCGCTATTTTGACAATGTCATTATAGCCTAGATCAATCACTCATGAGAATCCGACCATATCCAGATAGTTCCAGAATCGTGAGGAAATTTTTCTTCAACTTTTTAAATAATACATGTATTGAGATAAGAAATATCATAGATTCTTATTTAGTTCACTTCGTCACTCTATGTGAGTTGTTGTTTCCTAAAAATACTTTCATTAAATTATGATTGATTAGTGTCGATAGATTCATAATAAATAAGTATTGAATAAAAATTATAATTAGACAGTGTACTAGAAATAAGAGATCAACTACGTAGTGATCTACGGAATATATACTATATTGTGTTCTAATTTTTTGGACAAGAATCATCAGACATTCTTTTTTTGCTTTATATGCACATTGATGCGCTGTGGTCTATATCCGGCTTCTATGAAAAAAAAAGAAGCATGCCTAGGTCAAAAATCTTTTATTCAGAATACTTGCTTTTTCTCTCTATTGCATTTGTTTGTAGTGACGTCAAATTATGCACAAACATGCCTAGCATTTTATGCATAACAATTAGAGCATAGAAATACTAGATCTTTTTTTTTTTTCTTATATCCGAATGATTGTTGGTTTTTTTTTCTTTTATATTGTTTATGCATTGAATAATCTATGAAAATTATATATGCTTGAAGTTAGTTCTTTCAATTGACAGAACCAATAGTTGCTTGTCTTTAACTATTCATCAATCTATTCTAAGCTATTATAGATAGGTTAATAGATTTATAAGAAAAGAAAAATAGATCCAGGTATTAATTTAATACTTTATATTTATTACAGGGTTATTTTTCTTTGAACTATCAAGTGACATAATGATGCATTTCTTGTTTTTTTCTTTTCCGTTAGCCTTCATTAAATCGGTTGTAACATAATAACAAGTGACATATAGTATGACATATTTAACTAAATAAATATGTAAGTATCACAATATTTCTATTATACATATTTAATATTATTATAGTTTATTAATTAATGAATTATTTTTAGATCATTAGATTCTAATGTTACTAACACCACAATCAACAACACCAAATCGTATACAAAAATATCGTACATTAGCTTATGTTGTAACAATTCTTGTTTATCTTGTTATTGGTGCAGCAATATTCGATAAACTTGAATCAACTGAAGAATCTCTACGTCGTAATAATTTAACAGCACGTATTGATTTATTTCGACAACAACATAATATAAGTCATCAAGATTTTATTAATTTAACTCGTACTGTTGAATTACGTATACTATATCGTAAAAAACAATGGAAATTTATTGGTTCATTTTATTATGTAACTGTTGTTTTGGCTTTAATTGGTTATGGTCATGCTATACCAAATACATTTGCTGGACGTGCTGTTACAATAGCATATGCATTAATTGGTATACCTATGTGGCTTATTATGATACAGAGTGTTGGTGAAAGACTTAATTCATTAATAAGATTTGTATTAAAATATATTAAACGAAAATTTCAAAAACGAAGAGAACCACAAGTAACAGCTATGGAATTATTAACATGCGAAGCATTATTAACAGTTTTAACAGTTGCTGCTGGATCATATGTTTTTCATCGACATGAAAATTGGCGTTATTTTGATGCATTTTATTATTGTTTATTAACATTGTAAGTATTTATATTATACAAAAATTATCCCTTATTCGACTTTGTTTATTTTTATACTATTCTTAACTTATTATCTGTTAAAATTGAGCATAGCAAAAAAAAACAAAGAAACGTAGACACATTTCTGGAAATAGTTTTTTTTTGTTCTGATTAGAGACAACGCAATTTACTAAGTCAGTCTTATGATAAAATGATGACAAATTGAATAGAACAAGACAAAATCTTTAATTCATAGTTTTTCTTTTAATCTGACATAATGAATTGATATGAAAAAAACAAAGTAATTTATAAAGTTTACTCGACTCAACTTTGTTTAAGTATTGAATGCTTTTTTGGAAATTGATGAGCAAAAAAAAACAATAATAGGCTGAAACTCCGTGGAAGTTTGGATGACTCCTGTACAAAATAATAAATATAAGACTTTTTTTTGTAACAAATTTATTATCCCTTTAGTTACCGATAAAAGATACATATACATCATATATAGAATGTCTTTACACCACGCACATTTTCGTTTCTTAATGGATAAGTCTAACGTGAGCCATTAAGAAAAATAATAATGTTGGAAGCTCCTGCTGTTTAACATTTACTTTTACGCAAATGTATAGATAAAATATGCATTATAAGCGATTACATTAGCTTCACATAATGATAAAACTCATGACGCATATGTGTCGCAGGTCACCAGAGGACTAACTAATACTGTATTTTATATACACAGTGGTGGCTAATCGCGAGACGAACTAATTCAGAAAAAAACAACAGAAAATCTCGGTATACTTATATAATAGGTATAGAATAGTGATCCACAAAGCAGCTGAAAAACCGTTTTGTCATCGCCTCGCTAAGAGCCTAATTAGGAATGAGTAAATTATGAATCTTTTTTGCAAGTCATTTCAGGACCATTTGACGAAGTATGGCCACTATCATGAATAGTTAAACAAACATCTTGTGCTACATCGATAATATTAGATGGAAGAATAGACAAGTTTTGAGATACACATACTACCTATTTAGAATGAAATTTTAATTTGTAAATTATTTAACTCTCAGAGTAAGATTAGTGTGCATTACTAATTATAGAAATTCAAAATAGTAGACTAAATCGAATACATATATCTTTGAATGTATTCTTGTCTTGAATCACCATGTTAAAACTTAGAAAATATCTAGAAGAAAATTGATATTTATTCAGCAAAACCTGCATTGTAAGTAGACGATAGGAATTGTTAAATATCACACCATCTCGTACTCGTCTCGCCCTGCGGCAAGGCAAAGTAATGTAATACAATGGTTTGTGAATCTCTGGTATAGAGCAGTTACACATTTTTGTTTTTCTCTAAATAACCTTGAATATATATTACTGATTGATTTTTACAAGAAATATTAGATTCTTATTTTTTAAATCTCTAATCAATAAATTCTCATTCAGTAAAACAAAAAGAAATCAAACTTTTCAAAGAATATCTTTATAAGTGTCAGTTAGAAAATTACAGAGAATGCACATTTCATTCATTCTTCGATATATTTTATAAACATATTGATCTTGGTTGTTTTTGTTTTTGAAATTATATTTAATTGATTATATTTCTTCTTTTAGAACAACGATTGGTATGTATTCAATGTAGTTTTATAACTTATTCATTAAATATTATTTTAATTTCATAGGTTTTGGAGATTTAGTTCCAATGCAAAAAGATGATTATGAAAATTTTGGTTGGTTATATATATTATTTTGTATAATGTTTATATTAACTGGTTTAACTATCGTTGCATCTAGTGGTAATTTATTAATTTTACGTTTTGTTGAAACAAATACAAAACGTTGTCAACATGAACGATATGAAATGGAAGAACGACGTCGACAACAAGTTCATATTATTGGTGATGTTATATCATCAAATGGTCGTCTTGTTACATTAGAAAATGATGAAGATACACCATCATTTCGTACTTCAAATGGTGCTCAACATATTACATTAGATAATAGTTCAAGTGCATTATCTCTTTGTTCATGTCGTGCTCAACCATCATTAACAGCATGTATACCAATGTCATGTAAAAAAAAATTTAAACGTAAACAACAAAATATATTAAATAATTCAAAACAATCAGTTGTTAAATCTCAAATAACTAATACACGTACATTACGACAAGAAATTCTTGATTCATTACAAACAAAAAATGATATCGATGAAAATATTGCTTTACAAAGATCTTATCTTCCAGTAGAAAAAATTCAAAAAAGAAGTTCAATATAATAATAAAACAAATAAGTCTTATTTGTGCGTATATTTTCTTTTTCTTTTTCTTTTTCTTTTTTTTCTTGTATAAGTAAAATCATTCCAATATAATTTGTTAATCAAAATTTATCAATACAAAATTTTCTTTTCTTTTTGTTTCTTTGTTATTTATAATAATTAGTTCTTTTTTTTCTCAAAAATACTTAATTTCAAATAACAACTAATTATCACTTTCGAGTTATATTTGAAAATCTCCTTAAAGTCATGCTTTTTGTTCTTTGATAAAATGAATAACACTAGACTAGCAAATTTAATGAATAAAAATTCACCGAACAATCTTGACATTATCAAAAAGAAAAAAAAAAGATCATTCTATAACTTATTTTTAGATAAAGTTAAAGGTAATCTAGTAAAATAAGAAATCATAATTAAAATGAAACAATCTATATTTAGATGAAAATATTTCCTTAAAACATGTCGTCTTATTTTTGAAAAAAATCTTACCTATATACATAAATAATACGACTGAACTTGTCACTGTCATCGACCTTGTTAAAGAATTTTCTATATGATGGAAAAAGTTCAGTAAAACATAACATATTGTTTTGTATGTCTAAAATCCTCTTAGTCCACATCCGCTAGATGACATTTCAATTAATATTTTAAAAAATCATATGAAAGATTATGCAAATCTTTTTTTTTTTTGTACAATGAAATAAGTTCTACCTTGTTTCATAATTCAACCCAACAGAGATCTTATTAATGGATTAAAATTATTAAGTATTAAAATATGTTATCAACATAAGATATTAATCTCGAATTTTAAATTATTTTATTACTAATTAGTAATTTCCTATTAAAATAGTATTTTTTAATTTAGGCTTATCATTTTTGTTCTCACTTTGCATCAATAAGCGATTATTTACACAGAAAAGAGACGTCTACATACTATGACGTTCACTATTGAATTTTGTCTAACATCTTTCCTTACTCTTAATTGAAAAAGTTCTAAATAATAAACAATATCTATTCTGTTTATTGATCTTTTTGTATTAAATTGTTACTCAGACAAATCTTTTCCACAAGAATCGACTGACAACTTAATTCATGATTTGCGTCCTACACATTTGTTCAAATCATGCTTTGAGAAGAGTTCATGTTCATTTTTCAAAAGTATATATTTTTAGAAAACAAAATCGTCATTTATTTCAGTACTTGATCTCGAAAACAAAAAAACTAATAAGTCTATTTCTTAAAATAAATTCTAACTTTTGAAATTATTAAGATAGTACATCTATTATTGTTCGTATTCTCTAGAACATAAATTAAAGTATTCTTTTGTTTATTCATTAAATATATTCGTATAAGAGAACAAAAAAAAGGAACATATTTTATTCTTAAAATATAAGATAGATACGAAGACTCAAAAAACAAGCAAAAATATTTTGACAAGAATAATAGAGATAAATTATACATATTCCGGACGGAATTGTTTTTCTATGACACAAAAGAAAAAAACTTTGATTTTTTTTTGTGTGTGTTAGCATTGTACTTTTTTTTTCAAGACACAAGTTTTGTTGATAATTTTTTTTGATTATCAATAGATGTTAAATGATCAAATGTAGTTAGAGAATTTCTCATCATTTGTGTTAATTCTTCAAAATCAGTATTACTTGTTGAGCTTGTTGTTATTGTATTACTTTCAATACCACTTCCTGATGATGAAAAATCTTCTTCAACACCTTCATCTTCATTTGATAAACGTCGACGATGAATATTATCATGCATCCATCTATTATCATAATATTTACCTATTTCAGTTATTGTACATCGTTTTAATGGTTCAGGATCTATAAATATTCAATTATTGTATATTAAAAGACAAGAAAAACAGAATATAATAAAAAAAATTTTTACCAAGCATTTTTTTAAATAATCTCATTAAACGATTAGTAAATTTCAACCATTGTGATGGTAATTTACAACGACGTTGTAATTGATAACGTCGATGCCATTGTATATATTCGTTATAATAAACATCGGATTCTTGTGCATGTTCCCAAGGAAAATTACCTGAATTATTATTATTATTATTTGTTTTTAATAAAATAAGGTTTTTTTTATAGTTAAACCTCACCTGTTAAACAACAGAAAAGTAATACACCAAATGCCCAGACATCCATAGCTGTTGAAACAAGTATATCATTATTAAGAGCATTACATACTTCTGGAGGTGAATAAGGTATACTTCCAATTAAACGTCGTACATATGAACCACATTTTCTTGTCATACCAAAATCGATTAATTTAACTTTATGAAAATCTGCATCAAATATCATAACATTTTCTGGTTTAACATCACGATGAACCTAGATTTAAATCAATAAAACATATTGATAATTTTTTTTTTAGTAATGAAATATTAAGCTGAACAATAGTGTCTAGGCAGGAATAATTTAAATTATTCATTATTATTTCCGTTTGATTATAAATAAAAGATATAGAATAGAATGAAGGATTAAAATAAACTTTTACAAAGTATTATATGAAATCAATTTTACTAAACGATAAGTTTTATAAAGCAACTTTTTTTGTTTAGAATCGAACAATATAAATCATTCTTTAAATGAACCTACCAATCCTTTCTCATGCATAAATTCAAGTGCTGAAGCAACTTGTTTCATAATCGTTTTAACAGCTTTTTCAGGTAGACCACGTTGTGGTGGTATAGATTCAAATAAATCTCCTAATGGTGCATATTCTTGCACAATAACAAATGCATCTGCTGTTTGATAACATCGATCTTCATATGTACTTATTATTGAACGATGTGGTGATAATAATAATGAATAATTATATTCACGTTGAAAATCACGATATTTTGTTGTTGATTTTGGTAAAATTTTTAATGCACAACGTTGTTGTAAATCACGATCAAATGCTAATAAGACATGTCCATATGTTCCAGAACCAAGTTCACGTATACGACGAAAACGTTCATTTACATCTGATAATAATGGTAATGAATCGTTTTCCATCGTTTTAACTTAGTTTATTGTCTAAAATTATTTCAATAGATTGTTAATCTTTCCCCCCCCCCCTCCCCCCTTACAAAAAGAAAATTCATCATATCATGAATATAGGACAGATTTCTAAACATATTCGTAAGTAATGATTTTTTAATTTTACCAGATCGGAAGTATAGGTAAAAATGCTCATTATTCTGCTTATATAATATCATAAATATAACAGTTCTGTCTATTCTTTTTCAAGGAAGTTAACTATGAGTAGTATAAAAGGAATGATAAGAAAAAAAAAGAATATATATATATATATATATATTATAGACTCACATAGCAGTCTATGGATAAAAACTAACTGAAAAAAAAATAAACTCATGTCAACTTATTTTCTTTCCTTATTGACATGACTCCTTAGCATAGGCGAGTAAATGCTCCTGTTTCATTTAATTCTTAATGAAAAAAGTAAAAAATGACACATGAACATTAATTATATTTTTATAGTTACTTGTTGACTAAGATTAAAATTGTTCTATTCATTGAATTTATTTTGACAAAGTATAACATCAATGCAATATTTATATGTTACCGAATCTACATTCTTTATATTTACGAATAAAATATACACACTCATTTTTCTCTACTGCATGATGACGATCAAGTATAAAAAATGAGTCGAGAAAAAGGAATACTTGTAGAACGTTCAAGTGTAGAAGACGAGCAAAACAACGAAGAGAGAAAAAAAATGATGGTAGTTTTCTTTTTCTTTTTTTTCACGTATTCGTCTTTGTCTAGTTCTGTTGAAGACGCCCAAGTATTACACTTCTACCACATGCACACACGCACACATCCTAGCATTATTCATTCTCTCTGCATGCGTGTTATAGCATTAATTTTTCTCGTACTGTCGTTGTTCTTCATTCTGGTTTGTTTCTTTCAGCTTTATTCATTTGCTCAAAATAGATTTTGTCGTTCTATAATTGCTACATCTCTTTCCTGATTTGAAAAAGAAATAAATAAAACAACAACAAAAAAAAAGAGAAACATTAATAATAAAAATCTTCTAATTGTAGAATAGAATACTATCTTTAGTAAAATCTTTACTTTTTGACATTCACATCATAAAACTAGAAAAAGAATATAGTATATACTTATTAAAAAGAAACTCTTTCTTTTTTTATTACTATAAACGCATGAACTATTGCTTTGTGTTAGCAAATAACATTCTTTTTGTTTTATTCATTAACAAAAAAATAGCAAGGTTCATTTCACTTATACGAAAAGAAAGAAATACACTGAGAATTTTTGAGCACATCTATACTCAAAAATATATGTGATAAAGAATGTTAAGTTTTATGAATTCATGGAAAAAAATTGATAGATCTCAAATAGTGAATGAGGCATTCTATATTAACATTGAAGATAAACAACACTACTATTTGATAGACAAATTTCATTGTAGATAATCATACGAAAAATCTTGAGAGCTTTTCAAATATTTAGTGCTTTCATTGTCTAGCTCAGCAATCTATGAAATGAACAGACTTGGTTAAGGCTCAGACTGAGTGAAAAAAATATCATATCCTTTCGGATTTCTTGTCAATGAAAGCAACTGCTCGCTTTTTTTTTATCTATCACGAATTGCGTATTTTATCACTGCTACTAAGCTGTTTATTAAAGATAGGTCTAATAGGATCTACTTAGAATGAGAACTGTGACGTGTGTCTTATAATAAGCATAGACAAGAAATTAGAAACAAAAGATGAAAAAGAAGTCTAGAATATCAGATCTCTGTATTTTATGTTCTTATTACTCTTTCTTCAAAATTTAATTATGAATAGTGAATAGAAAAGGAAATCCTGCTGGATGCAATGTTCATGCGAGTTTTACAGACCGATTACATATTTTACAAAGACTTTGTACAACTAATTTCGAAGCATCAAAAACATCCTCAACAAGATTCTTATGACAAGTAGTCATCAATGTATTCTGAACAAACTATAATATATGAAATGAAAGAGATGATTGTCGCAGATAACAAACTTTTCGACAACTTTAGGCAATGTCTGATGAACTCAGTTGACTAAATATCCAAATACAATGGCCCTATTTAGTTTTAAGTATTTTATCGTCATAGAAATTTCATTATAAAATATCGGAAAGCCTTTTAGTAGAGCGCGCGATTTCTAACTACAATACACAGGGTTCGAAATCCTATTTTAGCGAACACTTTTATGTATTGTTTAATTGATTCGCCATTCGTTCATAAGACAATATCCCAAACGAGGTTTTTTTGTCTCTTTAGGTTATACTTAAATTGATAAAAATTGTTTTTTAAGAAATAGCAGGCCCGGGTAGCTCAGTCGGTAGAGCGTGTGGCTTTTAACCACAATGTCCAGGGTTCGAGCCCCTGCTCGGGCGGTCTTAATTTTTTTTCTTTCGATTGTAAAAATAACTTTAAAAAAATTCTTTTTCGTTGTTACGGTTATTACATAACCCGTAGACAAATGCTACTCTATTCACGAAAGAGAAACAAGTCCCGATAGACTTAGTCAGTAGAGCGTGTCGCTATTAACTACAATGTTCAAAATTCAAGTCCCTTGCTCGGACAGTTACTTTCTTTTGGGTGTTGACGTGAATGTGATATAGAGACCTGCATCGGACTGATAAGACTGATTCTGATTTTGAGAGAGTCGGAATCGAACAGAGTCACCAAAACAAATTTTTTCGGAGTCAATGTCAGAGTTACATCAATAAAACAATGAAGCATTTTTTCTCTTACATATTAACAGCTTTATTCTTCATAGGTTATGTAATAAATAAAGATATAATCATTTATAGACTAATAAATAAATATAAATAAAAAATTCATCAAAGAGATATTCACATTTACAAATAGCACAATAATAAGTATATATGATGATGAAGAAAAATTTACGAAGTTTTTCGTGAATGAGAGTGGAAACTGGAGCTGTGAGGTGGAAATTTTCGCAATTGAAGCCAAGTTTTAGAGTGAAAATGTTTGACTTCACAGGACTCTAGTGTTAAATGAGTGTAGATGATGGTTGATTATGAATGGAATGAATACTCATAGGCATATCGATACCCAACTTCACCGCGAGCTGGAATTCTCCTGTATTTTTATATGAAAAAAAAATTTTATATATTAAAACAAAATTATATTTCAGGAGAACTAAAAAGTTTCAATGGAAACAACTTTTTGATTGTCGCAACAGTTGACATGCACTAGTCGTTGTGCTAGTCTGGAAGAATGAAAAGGAAGAACGAGCACATATAATTGGATATAGTCCTATAGTATTTTGTAGTGGGTGAACCAGTATTTCAGCTCAGATTGAGTTTATGTTACGTTGAGCCCACATTAACACATGCCTGGCTACGTGACTAGTTCCCTGCTTGTCAATGCATTCTGTATTCCTGAGAAGATCTATAGGATATTATTCGAACAATAAATAACAATTCTATATTGATATATTGCATGTTTTACTCATCTATGTCATATTGTATTTATTGTTTAATTAATATTTTAGTACTGTAATAGTTCATTACTGATTCTTACGTATTACTTGTTAATCACTTTTTCTTTTTGCTTTCAAAAATTTTATCACTTATTATCAGTAATAAATGATAAAAAGTGACAAAAAAAATAATTACTAATAAAGTTACGAGATACTATGTCATATATCGTTAATAAGAACCAACAAAAGCTCTAATGTCATTAAAATAACAGAAAACAAGGCAAATCGGGATAAAAAGCAATAAGTAATAATAATTATTACCAACTACAAAGTAGAAGTTATAATAGTAATTTGATGCCTCCTCTGGTAGACCATAGCTACTTATGAAAGAAAAGTAAGCCCGGGTAGCTCAGTCGGTAGAGCGTGTGGCTTTTAACCACAATGTCCAGGGTTCGAGCCCCTGCTCGGGCGATCTTAATTTTTTTGTCTTTCGTAAAATAATTTTTTAATTATTATGTAATTGGTAGACCAATGGCTATTCACGAGAGAAAAGTAAGCCCGGGTAGCTCAGTCGGTAGAGCGTGTGGCTTTTAACCACAATGTCCAGGGTTCGAGCCCCTGCTCGGGCGATCTTAATTTTTTTATTTTTTGTAAAATAATTTTTTAATTATTATGTAACTGGTAGACCAATGGCTATTCATGAAAGAGAAGTAAGCCCGGGTAGCTCAGTCGGTAGAGCGTGTGGCTTTTAACCACAATGTCCAGGGTTCGAGCCCCTGCTCGGGCGGTCTTAATTTTTCTATTTTTTCGTCAAATAAATTTCAATTATTATGTAACTAATAGACCAATACAGAGTTGCTAGCTAGGAAAACCTAAAATCTGAAAAAATCCGGAGATTTTTTTTTAAACCCGAAAAGGTTTTCGAGGATCACTTTTAACTACTTAAAATGTTTTTCTTAACCAAACTATCGATAACGTTATTGTTTATTTTCACAAAATATATTTCCATACAAAAAAAAGAAAATAAATATCAAAACATGATTAACTCAACAAATGACAACTTATAAAATACCTATACATTTCGATATTATTTAACACATTGTTTTTTAATACAATATTTTTCATTGACATAAATAAATTCCTATAGCTCTGGTTTCAACAAGGAAAAAATCATAAGCTTCTGTATAAGATAAAGATGACTTTAAACGAATTTTTGACTCCACTGCAATGAGTTCTGTATGTAGAGTACAGATTACATTGTTCATTTATTTTATTATCGTTTGAGTCAGAGAAAACGAAGAAAAAATAAGCAAAGAACGCAAGAAAAATAATTGGTCTTTTCAGCTAACCAATAGAAAGAAAAGCTAAACTTCGTTTGAATCATTGATGAATTTTTACGAATATTGACAGACAGTGGAAATATAATTAAAACAGAAAGCATCTGAACTCAAGGAAAAAATTCGGAAGCCAGAAAAATTTCAGAAAAACTTGTAAATTCGAGAATTTTCAAAATTTGTAAGATCCAGCAACAGTGGAACAATA